CCATCTCATCCTCTGCCGCCCCCGTTCTCCTTTTGCCCTCAATCTTTCCCAGCATCAGGGTCTTTTCCAATGAGCCAGATTGGTCACAGCAGGTGACCAAAGTATTGGAGCTTCAGTTTCAGCAACAGCGCTTCCAATGAATATTCAGGATTGATTTCCTTTAGGATTGACTGGTTTGATCTCCTTGCAGTCCAAGGGATTTTCAAGAATCTTCTCCAGCACCATAATTTGAAAGCATCAATTTTTCAGTGCTCAGCCTTCTTGCTGGCCCAACTCTTACAACTGTACATGACCACTGGAAAAACCATAGCTTTGATTAGACGGAACTTTGTCAGCAAAATCATGTCTCTGCTTCTTAATATGCTGTCTAGGTTTGTCATAGCTTTTCTTCCAAGAAGCAAGCATCTTTTAATTTTGTGGCTGCAGTCATCACCACCCAGAGTGATTTTGGAGCCCAATAAAACAAAATTTTATTAAAAACTCCCAAAAATAAAACTGTCACTGCTTCCACTTTTTCCCCTTCTATTTGCCATGAAGTGATGGGACCAGATGCCATGATCTTAGTTTTTTTAATGCTGTTTCAAGTCAGCTTTTTCACTCTCCTCTTTCACCTTCATCAAGCAGCTCTTCAGTTGTTGGAAGAAAACAACTCAAGAGCTGTTACCTGAGAGTCTGATGGTCAATGCATAAGAATGTGATGATAGAGTACAAATGAGGAAGTATGAAAGGGAGAATATGATGCAGAGTTACCCTTGCCTGTCCCTCTTTTTCTTACTTCCCAGACTATCACAGTGGATCCCAAGCCACTAGCCTTTCTCTAGTTTATAATGAGAGAAATCAGAATATCGAAATTAGAATTTTGAGGTCAAACAGACCAAGGTTTGAACTAGCCCTCCGACTTACTCTGGGACCTCTGGGCAAGTTATATAAACATTCTGACCCTCCAGGAAGAGAAAAACAGATACCAGATGATATCATGTATTTGGAATCTAAAAAATGACACAAATGAACACATCTATGAAACACAGATTCACAGACAGAGGGAACAAATGTGTGGTTGCCAGCGGGGGAAAGGATGGAGGCGGGATGGATTGGGAGTATGGGGTTAGCAGATGCAAACTACTACGCAGAGAATGGATAAACAGCAAGGTCCTACTGTAGAGCCCAGGGAACTATATTCAATATCCTGTGATAAAACATAATGAAAAAGAGTTTGAAAAAAAAAGTATACATGTATGTACCTGAGTCACTTTGCTGTAGAATAGAAACTAACACACTGTCAATCAATAAAACAAATTTTTTTAAAATTTAAAAAATTAACTTTCTGACTCTGTTTCCTCATCAGAAAAACACAGCCCACTGTGAGGATTCAATGAGATGGTGCACGGGAAGTTCTTAGCTCAGTGCCTGAATGGGATGAAGTCAGCACTCAAAGTGTTACCTGTTAACTCCTATGGTGGGGGCAGGGGGGTGGGGGGACTTCTTCATTCTTCGTTGATGCTGGTGAATCTAGATGAGGCTGTGCTCTGCACTGATCCACTTGTCAGCAGGGCCCCTTGCCCACGGGCATGGGTTCAGCCTCCTGCCCCTCTCATCCCATGTACCCTGCTCACCGAAGACATTGCGCCTTATGGGACAGCAGTGAAATCCAGAAGGATGACAAGGAGAGGATGCAGAGGTCCACGTGCTCTCGGGTCACCTGTGGAGCCACGGATTTCTAACACCTGATGGTCAGGAAATGGAGAAGGAAGACTCACAAGACACACTGGGTCTGGTCAAAGAACGGGTATTGCTTGACCCACACTGGAGGACTGGCAAGTGTCAAAGCCTCAGGAAATCCTGCTCAGCACGAATTTTTAGGGGAGGTCATCGAAAGGATGTGACTGCTGATTGACACGTGCATTGAACCCAGGCAATCAGAGGCTCCTCCAGCCCTCCCCTGTCTTTGGAATAGACCAGGTGCCCACTGTCCCCACAGCAGGAGTTCTAAGGATACAGCCTTAAGAGAGGGATGCTGTTAGGTGCATCTGTACTGTACATGCAGCTGAACCCAGCTAAGACCTCCTAATAAACCTTTTCAGTTTCTGAAGCCTGGTGCAGAGATCTGCTGGCCTTGGGGCCACCCCAGACAAACATGTAAGTTGCCTTACATGTTAGAACTCCCACCTACCAATCCAAGTAGCCGCCTCTTTTTCTCTCCCTCCCTCCGAGTGCCCTCTACGAGGGGTTGGTTTCAGATTTCACCTAAAGTGCTCAAGGTGAGCCAGGTGGAAGTTTGAGGGTTAGGGAGTGGGAAGTGTGTGGCTTTTCTACCTGGTCAGACGCTAATTTCAGGGTACAAGTTTACGAAATGGGACCAGGGTCCATGGAGGCCTTCAACCCTCAGAAAGGAATGGTTCTGATGACTTCTTTGGTTTTATAACATGGGAAATAAAGCCCACAGGCCCAAACCCAAGGAATGAACTTGGAGACACGAGGTGCAGTGAGAAGTGCAATATCTGGCGTCTGGTGGGCAGGCACACCCAGGTTCATCATAATGGGGTTTTTATTCTCTCTGCTCCCAAGTCCCTCCCCCAGTTCCTCCTTGGCTGAGTACTACGGGGTTAACAATCTTCCCAAGGAAGTCACCTGGGTTTATTACTTTCCCTTTGCCTGGATTTTCCCATAAGCATCCTAAGGGCTATTACACATTAGCAGGCTGTCACTAGGCTAGTTGCCCTTGAAAATGGACCAGTTTTAGTTTTTATTTCTTCCAACAATAGGAAAAGCTGCCTAGAAAGGTCTTGGGGGAAGGGGCAGGCAGGTAGGGTGCAAGATGTGAAATTTGGCCTCAATTTCAAAAATGAAATTTGGTCTCAGTTGTTGACCGCCAATGGTTGAGCCCCAACACAGCCCCAGTTCAAATTCAGCCCTTCAGCCCTTTCCCCCTCCCCTCTCCCCCTCCTGTCTGCCTCTGCTTCCCCCTTCCCCCGCCCCCTCCCCGCCATTCCAGGCAGACAGGAGGGGCTGGCCCAGATGCAGAGGACGGAAGGTCTGGAAGGCCTCCTCTTCCAGTGCTCCGCCTGAGCTGCACCTGGAGCTCACACCTCCCTCTCCAGTCCTGCTCCCCACCTGGCAGAAAACCATCCTACAGTATTTTAAGAGCCTTTTTTTTTTTTACCACACTGAGCAGCATGCAGGATCTTTGCTTCCCAACCAGGGATCTAACCTGTGCCCCCTTAAGTGGAAGCATGGAGCCCTAACCACTGAACTACCAGGGAATTCTCTGCAAATATATTAACATCCAACAAGGGATAACTGGTTAGTTATTTTTATGGAGCTCTATTAAAAGAATGTATATGATGGCATAAAAGATCTACAAGATATAGAATCTGATCCATAAAAATAGAATTTTTAAAAAATTATCTTGGTCTGAAGAACCTAAAGAATGGCCAACAAGAGATAATTGGTTAGTTATTTTAATGTGTGTGTGTGAGTCGCTCAGTCGTGTCCAACTCTTTGTGACCCCATGAACTGTAGCTAGCCAGGCTCCTCTGCCCATGGAATTCTCCAGGCAAGAATACTAAAGTGGGTGGCCATTCCTTTCTCCTGGGGATCTTCCTGACCCAGGGATTGAACCTGGGTCTCCAGGCACTGCGGGCAGATTCTTTACCATCTGAGCCACCAGGGAACCCCAGTTATTTTTATGGAGCTCTATTAGAAGAATGCATGTGATGGCATAAAAGATCTCCAAGATATAGGATCTGATCCATAAAATATATAGCAAATTTTCCTGGAGGGGACAAAACACTTGTCTTGAAGCCAAGGGCTGGCCCCCAAGTAAGGTGGACCATGGTGGGATCTTCCAAGCGACTCAAAAAACTAGCCACTCACCCCAGTTCCACCCCAACCCTCATTCTCCAGCCAAAGAAAAGTCAGCAAGTCCAAAAAGAGGCCTGACTGTCCCTCTCCTGGAGCTGAGACACATGTCTATGGCAAGTCACCCTGGGTTTGGCATCCACCCATCTCCCCCTTGGCCGCACCCAACCAGCCTCCATTTTTTGGTGTTCTCAAAATAGATCGCTTATCCCTCCTAAACAAGTCAATCCCAGAATCCCACAGGCACACTCAGACCCCTTTGCTCTCTTTCCTCAACTTAGCCCTCAAAAAGCACAGACAAGAGGGTCAGCACCAGCCTTTACTGAGGAAAAGAAGCGCCACACACCCACTGCCCAGGCCCAGGGTCGGGTTTCCCACAGTCAAGGCAGCCGTCGGAACAGAAACAGTGCCGAGGGCAATGACAGTGCCTAGGGGTGTCACAAGCCCCAGGACAATAGCCTCTCCTGGCTGCCAGGACAAGCCCCCTCGATGCTCAGGACACATCAGATCGACGAGGGCACCAGGGCCTCTGCAAGAAGAAGAAACATCAGGTCATAATTGCACCCTCCTGGCTCCAGCTCCCCAGCATGTTTTTTTCCCCTTCTACACTGGAGAAGTTAGGCAAAGATTGCTCTCACAGGCCTTAAATGGCTACCTGCTTTTCAGACAATCCGGGCTAAACTGGCATTGAAGAGTCTTTATCACGCAGTGACCAGCCTTATATTTCCTGTTGTAAAAACAGCCTGTCTGGCCCCTTACCCACTCTCTCATATCACCCCCATCTCAGTTTCCCAAACGTGTCACATACAACCCACCCTCTGTGTCTTTGGTCACCAGGCCACCCGTCCAGCTTGTTCTCTTGCTCTCCTCGCTGGGTCACATCTAGCCTAGCCTTCAGGGCCCAGATCAAATCCTACTTCTAGGAGAAGGACCCTCCCAAGGAACCACACTTACTCTGCTCACCTGTATGCCCATTCGGCCTATACAGGGTCCTGACCTGTGAAAGAGAATCTAACTAGACTCTCCAGGGTGAATACTGCCTTGCCCTTCTGGAGTTCCCACCCAGCATGCTAAGCGTCATAGCAGTAAAGACTGTTATTATTGATAACGAGGGACTGTACTCACCTAATTCAGAGTCAGACCTAATGGTCCAGGTGGGGTTCGGGGCCCGCTGGGGTGATGGGACTGGATGGGACACAGAAGCGGCCACAGCCTGACTTGCAGCACTTTTCCCCCGGTTGGCAGTTCTCATCGATCATGCAGTTGACAATGCACAGGCCCACTAAGACTTTTGGACAGTCACCGCCCCACCCTGGGGGATAAACAGGCAAATGTATAGAGACAGGACGGTTAAGTTCCAGTGACTCCAGGTGGGATCCCATCTGGGACTTAGACACAGAGGCTCAGATGAATCCATCCCTGATTCTGACTGGATCTTAATCAAACATCTGGCTGGGACACCTTGAAGCTAGAGGATCTGAGCCCCCGCAGGGCCCGAAGAGAGCATCTGGATTAATGATTTCCAAATAGTATCTCACAAGGAGTTCCCTAGAGGTACCTCACTGGTGGCTCAGATGGTAAAGAATCTGCCTGCAACGCGGGAGACCTGGGTTCAATCCCTGGGTTGGGAAAGCTCCCCTGGAGAAGGGAATGGATACCCACTCCAGTACTCTTGCCTAAAGAATTTCATGGGTGGAGGAGCCTGACAGGCTACAGTCTGGGGTCGCAGAGTCAAATACGACTGAGCAATGAACACTCCCTTTTTTCTTTTTTCACTTCAGGACTTGATATCACTGTGGGTTTGGGGTGGGCCTGGGTGGGGTGCAGAAGCAGGGCTCCCACACCACTACCCTCTCCCCTGGCGCTTGGGCTTCCTACTCTCCACCCCCGCCATGGCCTTCCTCTAGTTCTTGCAATGCCAACATGGGCCCCTTGACCCAGGAGGAGGGCTGCCGTGGCTTGGAGGGGGGCGGGGTATGAGGACTGGAAGGATAAGAATTCTGACTCCCCCCACAAACAGGAAGAGAAGACCACAGATGGCTCCCTGCCTAACCAGCTCTGGGAGCCCAGGAGCCCAGGACTTCTTCCCCAAAGAGCTGACATACCTCCCTTAATGTCTCCGAAGCAGGCATGGCCACAGCCGGTGCTGCAGCACTTATGTCCCTGGGGACAGGATGTGTCCCCATCACACAGCTCTTCACACGGAAGGGGGTCAGCCGGACATTCACCGCCAGACTCTGCCACAGAAACAGAACACTGGGGCTCAGAGGTACCCCAGCCCAGTGTTGCCAGTTATTTTCATCGGGACTCCAGCACAAAATGTACAAACAAAAATGTAATGGAAAACGACATATTTTCCATCGTGTCCTGTGTGTATCTCATAAATATTCATGCTTAACGTGTGTATATTTATGTGCATTCATGTATATTCAATGCTGATACTTCTTATTCTATGTCTTCTTTTTTTTAATGCTGGCCACAAAATACGAAGCTGATATCCAGATTCAGTTTGAAAAGCACGGTTGAGGTCTAACACACTGTGACAAACACACCAGTTGCCACCCCCATATTCGTCCTCCCTCCGTGCTTACTGCCGTTGACACCAGCACTGCTGGCTGCTGAACGCATGCCCACGGGTAGCCCCCTCCCCATTGTCTCTGGGCTTGACTGGGTGAAGCTTTGACCGACAAGACACCAGCAAGTACGACGCAAGCAGCGCGTGTGCATGCATGCATGCTCAGTTGCTTCAGTCATGTCTGACTCTTTGGGACCCCATGGACTGCAGCCCGCCAGGCTCCTCGGTCCATGGGATTCTCTAGGCAAGAATACTGGAGTGGCTGCTAAGCCCTTCTCCAGGGGACATGTTCACAGCCCCTAGACAGACACTGAAACTCCGAGAAGAGAAGCTGTTGGCCCAGAACCACAGAGTGAGTCAGCAGCAAAGCAGGACGAAACTCAGCCTCTCAGTCTGTAGTGAAGCACTCTTTCTACTACACCATCCCTGAGACAGGTGGGAAACGGGCCAGGTCCACAGGGCAGGCACACCCAAGAAGTCACATCCAAACCACACCCACTTAACCGTGACTCACTCCTCTCGGTGTTCAAGTTTTTTAAATGGAGGGGAAATACAGGCCATTTAAGGCTTTGTAGAAAACCAAGACAGGACTGGCCCAGTGCCTCTGAGAAAGAACATATACATATGACTGGACACAGCTGGCTCCGGGAAGCCTGACATGATGGAAAAAGCACGTGCTGGACTCCGAGAGAATGCGTGCAGCTAAACATGTGCACATGCTCAGTCGCTCAGTCGTGTCTGACTCTTTGCAACCCTATGGACCACAGCCCTCCAGGCTTCTCTGTCCATGATATTTCCCAGGCAAGAATACTGGAGCAGGTTGCCATTTCCTCCTCTAGGGGATCTTCCCCAGCCAGAGATCAAACTCCAGTCTCCTGCGTCTCCTGCATTAGCAGGCAGATTCTTTGCCACTGAGCCATCTGGGAAACCTCGTACAGCTGAACAATCCAAGGTATAATAACCTAGTATCCTTAGATTTTCTAAATAGCCCCTATTTCACGCCATTTCAGTCCATATTACAACTATGTGTCTCGATTTTTTTATTCAGAAAATATGATCACTGTTCATCACCACATGTCTCTCCCCACACCTCCCCACCTGTTTGACAAACACCAAAATCCGTCTGACAAGGAACAAAGCCTTTTATCCCCAAGGCTGAGAAGACTGAGCATAAAAACAATCTCCCCAAAAGAGAAAAAAAACAGCAACATAAACGTCTCACCAAATTATACCTTGTACCCTAGAGAGTGGAGGCCTAGAGTCTCAAACTTCCCAAATTTCGCCATTTTGCTGGGCCTGACTCTGAAGTAGCTTCCCAGGTGGCCCAGGGGTAAAGAACCTGCCTGCCAATGCAGGAGACAGAGGAGATATGGGTTCAATCCCTGGGCCAGGAAGATCCCTGGAGGAGGAAATGGCAACCCACTCCAGTGTTCTTGCCTGGAGAATCCCACGGACAGAGGAGCCTGGGAGGCTACAGTCCATGGGGTCACAAACAGTCGGACACGACTTAGCGACTGAGCGCACACTCATGACTCTGAAGTAACCAATGCCAGGAGCACCGGGCTACCACTGCTTTCTTCCCCAGGACCAGGCATAGACACCAAAGCTCTACTGTCTCCCAGGCCAGACTTCCTTGAGTTCCCTGGGGATTTATCAACTGTCAGAAACAACAAAGGGACCCTTGGAGGATAGGCTGGAGCCCTGAGGCTCAGAATATATCCCTTCGGACCAGCGCCCAGTAGGGCCACCCAGTCCAACACCCTATCTGATGCCTGAATCCCTGCCAAACAATCCCCCATCCTCAGCTTGGAGAGCTGGAATTAAGGGAACCTTACTATCTCCAAGCCCGACTACAGCCAGCCATCCTTATATTTAAGCTAGACAGCCTTAAAGATAAGAAAGTCTTTCTTTATACTCAACTGAAGTCTATTTCTCTCCATTGGCCCTTTACCTATCCCCAGACACCTGGTAAGATCACAGCTTGTGTCACCTCTGTAGACATCCTCTGCCTTTCACCGTCTCAGCTTTGCCAGGCTAGCTGAGCTCAGTTCCTCCTATCACATGGTTTCTAGTCACCTCAGTTATCTTAGCAGGAATCAGGGTGAGAAATACAAATGACAGCCAGAACAGGGATGGTCAATCTAGCCTCTGGATACGCCCAATCCCAAGATCCCAAGCTATCACCAGAAAGGCAGAATAGAAAGCTGAAGCCCAGAAACACTCACTGAGTCTCCACCGCTGCCCCAGCTCCAACCTTCCACTAGGGAAAGACGCCAGCTGCTGGCAGGAAAGTGACATGTCAAAACTTCTTAAGCCAAGAAGGGCCCTGAGTCCTCAAACCTACTCCTTTCTTCTCCTGTAAATAGACAGACAGACATCCAGAAGGGGGAGAGACCAGCCTGAAGTCAATGGTCCCAGAACTGAGCCCCAAACCCCCAGCTTTGACACTCGGTCCAATGCCCTTTAACCCACATCATTACAATCCCCTACACTCTGCAAGGATCACCTAAAAACAAATCAACGAGCACTATGACTCAGCTCAGTTCTGCCAAAAGACCGAGCAGTAGACAGCTTTAGGGGTTAGGAAAACTTACAAATAAACTAGTGTGTGCCTGGAGCTCCCGAAACCAGTCCTAGTTTTGGCGATTCACTGGGACTCAGCATACAGGTGTACACACGGCCGTGATTTACAACAGCACAAAAATACAAAGCAAAACCACCAACGGGAAGAGGCATATGACGCGAAGTCCAGAGGAAGCCAGGGGCAAGCTTCCAGGAGCCCCCTCCAGGAGAGTCGCACAGGATGGGCTTCATTCCTCTGGCATGAAGCTGTGACAACGCATGTGAAGTGGCGTTCTACCGGGAACCCACTGCAGACTCAAGAGTTTTCCTGGGGACTGGTCACACGGCACTCTCTGCCGAGCCCATACCTCTGTTAATAGTTAGGGTGGCACGAACTCTCTCGAAAATCCAAATTCCCAGAAGTCAGCCAAGGCCAATCTTGTGAACAGGCCTTTCTGGGAATGTTAACCTTGGACCTGCTGTGTTAGCTCTCTCAGCTATACAAACAGTGTGGAGGTTTCAGGAAAGGGGGGCCCAAACACCCATGGAGCCCACGCCCCCGATCCACACAAAAGGACATGATGCATATGTCCTAATAAGCAAAACAGAGGCTCAGGGGTGATCGGGAGGGGCCAACCTTCACGCAGTGGGAGAGGGGAAATAAGGGACCCAAGACAGACAGACAGAGATTGGCTCAGTCGTGTCCAAATCTTGGCGACCCCACATACTGTAGTCCACCAGGCTCCTCTGTCCATGGAATTCTCCAGGCAAGAATATTGGAAAGGTCTGCCATTCTCTTTTCCAGGGGGTCTTCCCAACCCAGGCATTGAACCTGGGTCTCCCACATTGCAGGCAGATTCTTTACCCTCTGAGCTACCAGGGAAGCCTCTGGGACAACATTAAGGGAGCCAAAAGGGACAACATTAAGGCCATTATCTGGATCTTCGCTCCAAAACCTTCTCCTCCCAAAGTTGTCCCCTTCTCAGTAAAGAGTACGGCCATCACCCAAAGGCACCAGCCAGACACTCAGCATTCTTCTTGACACTTCCTCTTCCTCATCACCCACATCTGCTAACCAGGCCTGTCAGCTCCATCTTCAGGAGAATTTCAAGGACCTCCCTGGTGGTCCAGTGGAATCTGCCTGCCAATACAGTGGACCCGGGTTCAATCCCTGGTCCAGGAAGATCTCACATGCCCTGGGGCAACTAAGCCCATGAGCCACAACTGCTGAGCCCCTCTGCCGCCACTACTGAAGCCTGCTTGCCATGAGCTGGTGCTCCACAATAAAAGAAGCCCGAGCGCCAAAACTAGAGAGTGGCTCCCCCTTGCCACAGCTAGAGAAAGCCCATACACAGCAATGAAGACCCAGCACAGCCAAAAAGAGTAAATAAATTTTTTTCCCCAAAAAGTACTTCGACTCTGCCACTTTTCCAGGTCTGCACTGTCACTTTTCCAGGTCTGAGCCATGGTCACCCCCTGCCCAGCCTGCCACAGGGGCCTCTCAACTGGCCTACCACCTTCTACATTTTCCTCAGCCATTCTTCACACACCAGCAGAAAGGTCTTTTTAAAATGAAAACCCAACCAGGTCTCTCCTGCTTTAAAGGCCTCCTGTTGCACTTACAATAAAGCCTTAGACAGAGCCCCTGGAGGTTCCCGGAAAGCCTAGACCTGAACTGGAACCACCCTCCTTCCCTATCCCTCATCTCCAACCACACTGACCTTTCACCTCCTGAAAAAAGAAAGCCCAGCCCCGCCCCACAGGCCTTGCCCCGGCAGTTCCCTCTTCCTAGCATTGCACCCAACAGCCAGCTGCTGCTTCTCAGTTCTCCAACTTAAAATGACACCTCCTCTTTCCCTCGCTTTTCGTTCCTTTCGTAGCACTCACTGTGACTGGTGCTTATTATTGTCCACTTATGATTATTTCCTGTGTCTCACATCAGGGGCTGAGCTCCACAAGACCAAGGGCCGTGACTGCCCTGCTCACCCCTGGATGCCCAAATGCCAGATAGTATAGACTGACTCAATGTGTACTGAATCTATTTATAAGCGAACAAGTGACATCTACCAGACATCAGAGAGGTGGGAGGGAATCTGATCAGCAAGGTGCTGGGCATAACACTATAAGCTGCTGGGCATTATTTGGCAGGTTTTGTACAAGCTTTTTATATACATTTCTTCTCAACTACATGATTGGAGAAGGCAATGGCAACCCACTCCAGTACTCTTGCCTGGAAAATCCCATGGATAGAGGAGCCTGGTAGGCTGCAGTCCATGGGGTCAGGAAGAGTCAGACACAACTGAGCAACTTCACTTTCACTTTTCACTTTCATGCATTAGAGAAGAAAATGGCAACCTCCTCCAGTGTTCTTGCCTGACGAATCCCAGGGACGGGGGAGCCTGGTGGGCTGCCGTCTACGGGGTCGCACAGAGTTGGACATGACTGAAGCAACTTGGCATCGGCATCAACTACACGGGATAGACTGAATACTTGTACTCTCCGAAAATTCTTATGTTGAAACCAAATACCCAAAGTGAGGGTATTTGGAAGTGGGGTCTTTGGGAAGTGATTAGGTCAAGAGACTGGAGCCCTCTTAAGGGCAAGTAGTCCTTGTTGGCCTTCTGTCACATGAGGTCACAGCAAAAAGAGAGCAGTCTACAAACCAGGAAGCAAGCCCTCACCAGACACTCAATCTTCTGGCACCTTGATCTCGGATGTCCCTATTTCCAGAACTGTGAGAAATAAATGTCTGTAGTTTATAAGCCACCCAGTCTGCAGTATTCTGTTACAGCACTGAGAAAGGACACTGCCTTATCACTCTACGAAATAAATGTCCTTGCATGCATGTGTTTAGTCGATCATTCATTTCCGAGTCTTTGCAACTCTTTGGAGCCCCCCAGGCTCCTCTTTCCATGGGTTTCTCCAGACAAGAATACTGCAGCAGGTTGCCATTTCCTCCTCCAGGGGATCTTCCTGACCCAAGGATCAAACCCAGGCATCTCCTGTGTCTCCTGCATTGCAGGCAGATTCTGACCTGCTGAGCCATCAGAGAAGCCCTGATAAGAGATAAAGACGCTTACCTCCATTTTAAGGATGATAAAAAGAGGCTTCCTACCCATGTTCAAACCCTAACTGCCTCAGAAGAGCAGGTCCAGGGTTCAGCCTGGACCCTCAGGCACCCCGATATGCCCCTACCTTACCAAACAGACAGCCAGGAAGCCTCTAGCAAACCAGGGCTTACTGAACGCAGAAGTGGTTCACAGCCCAGAAAGTGCTCCCACTGCCGGTCACTGGGTGTAGCAACTAGTCCCACTGGGTGAGTGGGCCAGCCCTGCTCCAGGACTGGAACTGTAGAGAAGCAGTTAACTGATAACCCCATGGCCAATATCACTTCCCACCAGACGAGGGACCCCACACAGCCAGTGGGCTCTGGGAGATCTGCAGAGATCACTGTTCTAATCTGCTGAGCTCCCAGGAAAAAAGCAGCCCCAGCTGGGCTGGCCAGGGCCCAGAGCAGCTCACAGAGGTGCCCGGCTGGGCTGCCAGCCTCACCCTCAGCTGCTACAATTCAGTCATCACCTTCAAACATGGGCAAGACTGTACCAGGCCCGACAAGCTGCCAGGGAGTGACCCGTGGGAGACAGATGCCCAGCCCTGGTTCCAGACAGGGGCCTCAAGAGTCCTGGCAAGGAGTACAACCCTCTATTCTCTTTTATGGGCACACTGCCCAAGGGAGCTGCCAAAGCTAGGTGCAGACGATCCCAGTGGGTACAGGGAAGGGGCCTGCTACATGGGGAGATTTGGCTGGCAGGTCAGCCTTCACAAGAACCCTAAGTTCAAAGTAAAAGAAACACAGATAATCAACAGTCTATTCTTTCCTGACAGAAAGCAAAGAACTGGGGCCTCTAGTGATTAAAGGAGAAGAGACAGCTCCCCCACCAAAAAAGAGGGGGGGGGGGCGGCAGGGAAGAGGTGCTCTAGGTAAGCTAGATTCCAAGAGCCAACCTTGAAGACAGAAAGCTGGCTGGGTCTATGTAGCCCAGAGGCAAGATCGGAAAGGAGACATGGATTTTGCCTCTCGAGATATCCTTAGGGACGCCTCCCCAGCAGAGCCAACCACAGCATGCACCGCGGCACATCTGCCCAGCCAGACAGAATTCACTCCCCTGGCATGGCTCTTGGCACAGGTTCTTATTGGAAGGATATTTTCCTTCTTTCACTGCAAAAGGTATCACCTGAGTTGGGGGTAACTGATAAGGCCTCAATAAATGGGGAATGGAAGCCAAATGCACTTCGGGGACTTTTATCCTTTCCCAAATTCTTATCTAAAATATTTCTGCAGCCACTTTCCCCTCCTCCCACACCCCCACCATCCACCAACATGCACCCAGCACCACTCAAGGACCAGCCATTCTGCAGAGAAAGAGAAAGGTTGGGCAAACCCAGAACCTCTAGTAAGCCAGACTGGAAGTACTATCTCCTTGTCCAGAGAGGACAGAGAAAGCCAGGAAGACCTATCCTGGCTGCTGCCAGAATCAATCCATCCAGGTCCGTTGTACAGAGGAGACCATCATCTCCCCAAATGAGGACCCTCACTCTTGGGGGAGGCCAGGGGTGATTTCTCCTCTAGTCATTTTCAGTTACTCTTAGTCAGGGGTCCCAAAGGGTAACTCACCACGCTCTCCTACAGTCACCCTGGATGTCTCGGACCCAAGAGCCATTATTGTCTTCAGGAGGAAGAGGCAGCCCAACATGACAATGATGCTGAGAGCTGAGATGAAAACTCCAATCCGGCCAGACATGTACATCTTGCCCAGAACATCAACCGTGGGAAGGGCAAGGCAAGGGGACTGGCCTAAGCCCAGCCCCAGATCCTTCCTTTTCGCAATAGTTCCCAAGGATGATGTCTTCTGACAAGAAGAAAAGTGATTGGTTGCTTGTGTGTGGGAACATTCCTGGTGCTACCAAAAGACACAGGTGATCAGAATGATCAAACTCTGTACAATGGACAATGATGAGGAATCTAGGGGGAGCTGGGAAAACAGAGGGATAGCCACTGGATCAAAGAGAGCCCTAGCGGGTTTTTCAGGGACATGGCTACAGCTGAAATGAGAGAGGAAAGGACTAAAGACACCACTAAAGAAAAGAACCAAAGCTAATAAAATGCACTGTGGCTCCTGTCCATCATTGCAACCTAGAAAGCAGAGACTAGAACCAACTGCGTACAAACTATTCAAAAACTATAGAAAAGCAGTGTTTGAATTTCTTCAGAACTAACATAAATGCACCAAAAACCTACATCTTGGTCCCTCTGGCATATATAGGACATTTTTGGACTATATGAAGGCTGGTTGACAAAACCCAAAAGAACAGTTGCTGACTCAAGTAATAACGTAGGTCATATAGAGTCCCTTTCCCTGACACAGGGATCGAACGGATGTCTCCTGCATCTCCTGTGTTGCAGGAGGATTCTTTAACCACTGAGCCAGTTGGGAAGCCCAGAACAAAGGTAAGCAGTCCAATTCCATAGTCGGTGTTCTTTTATCATATCATAATGAATTTGAACTCAGATCTTTCTAACTGCAAAACTCATGCACCTTCTACTACCCCATATTATGACCTCGTACAAGTAACTTTTGCTACCACATATAAGTAGATCCAATTCTATTCAGGGATGTCTTACCTCTAATGCAGAGCAAAAGGGGATCTGGGGAACACTACAGCTGTGAAACCCCTGCATCCTCAACCTATCCCAGAATCAACCATCTGAGGAGAGAAGCCCAGGATCTTCATTAGATGCCTTCCGACGCCAAGAGGCAACCCCTGGGGTAAAGGCCTGGAGGGACCGCTGAGTGAGTGTTTACAATGCCAAGGGCCAGACCCCCTCTCCCTCTTGTTGGGTTTTGGGGTCCTCGCATGAGGCCCATCCAATTCTGGGAGCTGAGTGCCGGGCATGTTAAAATCTAGTTTTCCAAAGACAACCGCAGACGCCCCAGTACCAAACGCTCTCCTCCGCTCCCCAGCTCCAGCCCCGGGAAATCTGCTCCCTTCCTCCCGCCCCACACTTCTCCACGGGCCCTGGCCCTGCCAGAGAACAACCCTGACTGAACACCCCCAGTCACACCCGAAGCGAGACCACCCCCGAAAGGCAGCCGGGCCACTCGACACGCAACGCCTCTAAGCAGCAGCAACCGGACCAGCGGTTCGGTTTCCCTGGCAACCCCGCCGCTCTCCGCGTCGCGCTTCCGGAGCCTGCGGGCGGCGCGCTCCAATGACGTCACGGGGCCACTTTCCGGCCGGTGGCAGAGTCGGGCTGAAGTTGTGGGGGCCCAGGGCGCCATGGGGGCCACTGGCGACGTTGAGCAGCCGCGAGGACCCGGCGGGGCAGAGCGGGGTGGCCCCGAGCTGGGAGACGCCGGCGCAGCGGGGCAGCTGGTTCTCACGGTGAGGGCGCCCCCGGGGAGGCCCCGGCCGGGCCTGGGCTCGGGCCGGGCAGGGCCTCGGGCTCCCGGGACTCTGGCCCGCGGGGGAGAGAACGCGGCGGCTGATCTACCGAGGGGGTTGGCGTTGTCGCAGTCCGATGATCTGGCTTCAAATTCTGTGCCGCCCTCCTCGCTAGGTGACGTGGGCCGGCCCTGTCAAGCCCCCGAGCCCCAGTTTTATCTTCGGGAAGATGAAGATGCTTAGCCCCTGCCCCGTAAAGTTGTCGGGGGGAGGGATAATAAATGCGGGTAAAGCGCCCAGCGCATCATCTGGCAGAGTAGACCCTCGGTAAACACTGGTCCCCTTCCTCCACCCTGTCCTGAAAAGTAGGGTTGGGACTTTGGAGGCAGGAAACTTTCCCTCGGTTCCTCTTCCTCCGCCCCACCCTACACCAGGGTGGCAGAATCGGTGAAAGCACCCGAGAAGCAGGGATGTCTGAGGTGTAACTTAATACCCACGCTCCACCTCCACGCCAGTGTCACGGACCTCGGTGACATCTGCTCCCTTGGTCCCCACAGAACCCTTGGAACATAATGATCAAGCACCGGCAGGTGCAGCGGAGGGGCCGTCGCTCACAGATGACCACAAGGTAAGGCTAGCCCTGGATGGGACGTCTCTCCCAGGCACTGGCGTGGAAGGCAGCTTTGCGGTCCCCACTGCACAGGGCTAACAAAGAGTTCATCAGCCAGTAGAAAGAGGAGATTCAGATTCGGTAACTCTGTGTGACCTTGAGCAAGTCATTTCCCCTCCGAACTCAAAACGAGGGGGAGGCATATTGATTAGACAATGCCCAAGGTCCCTAACATTCAATGGCTCTTGTGTTTGAAGCTGCCAAAGAGGCAGAATCACATGGAGGTTATGAGAAACATGGGCCTGATAGTCTCCATCTCAGGGAAAGGAGGGAGCACAAGATGGGTCTTTGGGATGCTGGTTGTGTATGTTTCTTGACCTGTATGTGTGTATGTATGCTAATTCACTTCAGTCGTGTCCAGGTCTTTGCAACCCTATGGACTATAGCCCACCATGGAATTCTCCAGCCAAGAATACTGGAGTGGGTAGCCATGCCCTCCTCCAGGGGGATCTTCAGACCCAGGGATCAAACCCTCATCTCCTGCGTCTCAGGCGCCTTCTTTACATCTAGCACTACCTGGGAAGTCTTGACCTGAGTAGTGATTAAATGGATGTTCACTAAAACTGTTACAGTGTATAGACTTTTACTGTATTAAGTATTATTCTCCTAAAACACTTTAAAAATAATGCCCATTTCATAGAGTTATGAGTATGAAATAAAGTCCTACATCTGTGTGGTTTGCACAGAACTTGGACACATAGCTAGTTTTCAGTAAAAGTCATCTGATTGATTGTTCGGGGGTGGTTTGTTTTTTTTTCTTTTTCTAGCCACACTACATGGCATGCAGGATCTTAGTTCCCTGACCGGGGATCAAACCCGTGCTTCCTATAGTGGAAGCATAGAGTTTTAACCACTGGGCTGCCAGGGAAGTCCCAAAGCCATCTGTTTTTGTTGTTAAAGGATCTTATGTCAGTAATTGGCTGGGCAGACTGGGAAAGAAAATGTTTGGGACATGCCTCCTGACTGTGGCTTCTTCCCCTCCCTCCCTCTGCAGTTTCACAGATCCTGCCATCTCCATGGACCTCCTCCGAGCTGTCCTGCAGCCCAGCATCAACGAGGAGATCCAGACAGTCTTCAACAAGTACATGAAGGTGAGAAGGATGCAGAGACAAAAAAAATAGGAATTAAGACTCATGGGTGATCCTTCCCTGCATCACAGTCTCCCTAGCTCTTTCTAGTACCTCCACATGCCTAAAGTTTTCCAATTTGGAATCCCCACTCCAAGAATGTAAGTTTCTCTTACTGTTACCAAAGCAAATTTGGGTCTGCTCACACATGTGTGTGCTGAGTCGCTTCAGTCGTGTCCAACTCTTTGTGACCCTATGGACTGTAGCCCGCCAGGCTCCTCTGTCCATGGGATTCTCCAGGCAAGAAGACTGGAGTGGGTTGCCATGTCCTTCTCCAAAGGATCTTCCTAACCCAAGGATCAAACCTGCATCTCTTAAGTCTTCTGCGTTGGCAAGTGGGTTCTTTACCTCTAGCGCCACCTGGGAAGCCAAAGCAAGTTTGGGTCTGCTCGCCCACATGCAGTAAAACCAATCTACTGACACAGGTAGTGGTGAAGGAAAGTCCAGCATTTCCTGCTGGGCAGCACCAAGCAAGGAGGCTGGGGGCTATTTTGTTTCTGTTATTGTTATTTAGTCACTGAATCATGTCCAACTCTTTGCAACCCCATGGACTGTAGCCCACCAGGCTCCTGTGTCCATGGAATTTCCCAAGCAAGACTACTGGAGTGGGTTGCTATTTCCTTCTCCACGGGATCTTCAGACCCTCATCTCCTGCATTGGCAGGTGGGTTCTTTACCACTGAGCCACCAGGGAAGCCCTCTGGGGACTAGACTAGTGCTTGAAACACCCAAACTCCCTAATGAGTTTCAGCAAAGCATTTTTAAAGACAAAGTGAGGGAGGGGCATCCCAGGGTATGTCTCAGCTCGTGCACAATTCTCTGATTGGTTGGTGGTGAGGTGGCCATGTAGTAGCTCAGGGATTAACATTATTAACCCTTGGGCTCTGCTCATGTTCATCAAGTAATTCATTTATTCCGCTTGGTGGTGGTTTTAACATCTATTAGACAACTCAGGAAATGTGCATCAGATGCTGTTATTGAGGAGCTTTAAAGCAGAAGATATGGGAGAGGAGTCTGCTCCCTGTCCTCCAAGGCCCCATAGGGTCAGCTCCATTAGTTTTGCCAAGCTGTTGTGAGGATGAAATGACTTAAGTGTAATGTGCTCAGCCTGTGCTTGGAATGCAAGTGTTTTTATTACTTGTTTAATAGATAACCATTGTTACTGTTTAAAATTCATTTTAATATCTATTAATAATCTACACGGCTCTACCTGAATTTCCCACAGATGCTTCAGTCCCAGCATATTAAGGACTGACCTCTTTTGTTTTTCTTCCTAAATCTCCTCTTGTATTTATTCTTCCATTCGAGAAATATTTACTAAGCGCTTACCATAATGCAGGCACTGTTCTAGGCACTTAAGGATGTAACAGGGAACAAAATGGGCAGCGTCCTTGCCCTCTTTAAATAAATGTGTCCTTTGTCAGGGAGTGCCAGAGAGAAGGGGGAAGACAGTGGCCTGTAGGGAACAGAGGTGCTCTTTCATATTCATAGATTGTGTCTAGACAAGACATTTGAGCAGAGACCCAAAAGAGTGAGGAAGGAACAAGTCATCATATACCTGGAGGGAAAGCAATCCAGGCAGAGGGAACAAGGGCAAAGGCCCTGTGCCAGGAGCATGCGTGACATGTTCAAAGCACCAGAGTGGCCAGTGTGGTGGGAGCCAACCAAACCAGGAAAGAAGTAGGAGAGATGGCCAGACAGGCAGCAGACTCAGCTCAGGCAGAACTGTGAAGCCGAGGTGAGAGCAGGAATGAAAATATTACCTGCCACATCAGAAAACAAAGGATGCTGCAGCCATCAAGCCATCTCTTTACAGCCACCCTGCCTGGAGCCCCGAGGGAACTCAGGATAGAAACAGGATGCCCGCCATCTAGCGGTCAGCTGCTGCAACCACTACCGACAGTGCACCCCCGAGGGGACTCAGGCCTGAGAAAGCACAGGGTTCTGGCCCCAGGAAGCTAAGGCACACATCAAAAGAATGGTTTCAGTGAGCCCAGACTCCTGCACCTTTCCATACATAGGAAAGCACTAAATTCCTTAACTGGAGATACCTGGTTTTCTTTATTTAACAGTAATCTTTTGATATTCCGACTACCTGCTCTTTGTTGCAAAAACTCCTGTGTCGATATCCTGGCTCCTCACCTTGCCTTCTTGGAGCAGTCTCTCAAAGCTGTCTTAGATGCTGTGTTCCAGACTTAAGTCCTCAGTTTTGTCCACCAAATAAAACATAACTCAACTTTTAGGTTGTGTTTTTTTTTTTCCCCAGTTGACAGAACTTTGGGTTTTATTACAAGTAAAATAGAGGCTCTTGGAGAGTTTTGAGCAGAGTTCATGATCTGAACATTTTTAAAGAGTCTCTCTGATGGTCATAGAGTCGACTTCAGGAGGAGCAGTTAGGAGGCTTGAGATGATAGTAGCTTGGGTATTAGCAGTAAGGGTGCCAGGAAAGAGTCGGATTCTGTATGTTTTCAAGGTAGCAAACAGGATTTGCCAGTAATTCAGAAGTGCTGGGTAAAAGAAAAAGAGAAGTAAATAACTCCCAAGTTATTTGCCAGAGGCAGCTATAAAGGTAGAATCACCACTGACTTGGTATGAAGAAGATGGAAACAAGCAGAGGAATCAGGAGCTCAGTTATGAACAAGTTTAAATGAGATCATCATTCACTTAAAAACCAGAGTCCAGTGGGCTCTGCCTTCCTCCACCTTCCATATTCAGTCCTGGGGTCTTGTGCATTCCACCCCACACTCTGACCGGCCTGTCCTTTGCCTTGCCTCTGCCTTGGTTCAGGCCTTCATTGTTTCTCCCACTGTAATCCTTAACTGCCTCTGTTCTTTCCTTCTTTCAGACCACCCTCCATAAATCCGGTGATCTCTAACATGTAAATCCCTTAAAATCCCTCCACGACTTTCCATTTTTTCTGGGTGAAATCCAAATTCCTTTCCGTGGCATATATGGCCCCCTGAGATCAGACCACAGCCACCCCTTGCTGTATACCTAGTTATTCCTGTCCCTGACTTCTGCACTTCCCAGGATGCCCCAAGTATTCTTATACCTCTGCACCTTTACATATGTAGAAATAAAGAGGTTAAGCCACTAGGTAAAGGCTAAACCAGGACTGTCTACCTCTAAAGCACTTTACTGTTGCTTGTTCTAATGGTGGATACCATGATTCAGGAACTTTCTTTCCTGGACAAATGCTGAATAAACACAATTCGTGGCTTCACATTGTCTGCAAAGATACCTCCTTGCCACGCTTGTTTTTAGAACAAGGTACAAATGACTTGATTACATCACAGCTTCGGATTAAGTCCAGGCTCTTGATCAGCCTCATCAGATCACTTTGTTTAATGGTGTTCCCAAATCTCAGCTACATTCTAAGAATGTTTAGAATAATAACTTCTATAAATGGCTGATCTTGTCCAAGAAGTGTTTAATTTTATCAATTTATTCTTGTTATTACTAAATGCACACCCCTTTAAAAAATATTCTAATAATATAGCTTAGAAAATGGAGAGATGGATGGATAAATGGGATGGGTAGATGGCTTTGTGATAGCAAATACACCAAAAGGTTAGTTGTAGACTAAGTGGAAGGTACTAGTATTCACTGATTGAATAAAATTAAAAACCAAAAGTCACTAAAACTCACCTTATAGAATACCGGACTGTTAATAATGACCATGTAGTCTCCTGTATTTATTTGTGTGTGTGCGTGTGTATGCATGTTTTAAAAAATACAGGATCATTTTACACAGTTCTGCAATTTGTTTTTTTCATTTAACAATATATTTTGGTCATGTTTCTAGGTCAGTGTGTAATAGCTCACACTGATTGTTTTGTAATAGTTGCAGAGTAATCTAGTGTGTGGATGTACTGCAGTTTAGTTTGCTAGTTCCTAGAACACTTTCTACATTGAACACTTTGAATGTATATCTTTGTTCACCTGTGAGAGTATTTCTGGAGGATAAAGTTGTAACGATGGAATTGGTGGGTAAAGGAGGAAACATTTTTCCCTCAAGAAGATTTCTCTCCAGAAATTTTGTGCCATTTTGCATTTCTACCAATAGTGCTTGAGAATTCCTTGTTTATTCTCATCCAAAGGTGGCTTACATTTAGCCTACTTACTCCTTCTACTGCCCACCGCACAGGGCAGTTGTAAAGTACCCACATCATTTCATTTAGCTTTCACTTAGTCGTTAGTCAGCATTGAGCGCCAGCATTAATCTCCAGGTGTTAGTTTTTTGTTTTGAAGTCAGACTCATGACCATTTCACTTAATTTTGCCTGCAGAATTTTCCTCCTAAACTCTTGAGCTCTCTAATCCAGTGCTTTCACACTCTTCTCCTTGGTTTGATGTAAACAACAAAGACATATATATATAAAATGCTAAATATAGGAGACCTCCCTGGTAGTCTAGTGGCTAAAACTCTGAGCTCCCAATGCAGGGGGCCAGGGTTCGATCCCTGGACAGGGAACTAGATCCCACATTCCACAACTAAAACCCGGCACAGCCAAATAAATTTTTTTTTTAATGCTCAATATAAAGTGATTGTACTTCCTCATGGTTGTCTCCCTTGGGAGGTGCATGGGTTTTAAGTTTCAGAATTGTTCTATTTACTGAAGAGAACCGATACTTTATTCTAGAGACATGGACTCTCTTTTTGATGTATTACCAGTGTCAGTTTGGACCTCACGTCACCTTGTCCCTTGATGTTTTCAAGCTCAAGCTCTCCCTCGTACCTGGTGGAGGAACCTTCTGCCTTTCCTTTCCCCAGCCAGCTGGGGCTGCTGATATCCGGGGACCTGGTCAAGTCTTACCCCTCCCAGCCTACAGATGTTTCTTTCAGATTGGGTAAAGTCAGGATTCAAGTAGGCTTTTCTGCCCACTGGGTCTTTTCTGGCTTCCCTGACCTGTTCATCTCAGGCACTGGCCTTTTTTTTTTTTTCTTCTATGGAAGTAAAACATGTACATTATAGAAATAGAGAAGATTTATTGTTGAACAAAAAAAAAGAGAAAACAATCATGATATCACCACTTTAATATAGTGTATTCTCACAGTTCTTTTGTCTGTGTTTGCTTTTTGCTATTTTAGGCTCATGCTATCCCAAACTGTTTAATATCTTCCTTTCTTCACTTGACTATATATCATGAATACCTTTTTGTGTCAAAAATATATTCTCCTGTACCTTCCTTGCTGTGATTTCTGATACTTGTCTATTTCTTCATGGTATAGATAGCCCATAATTTACTTCAGTTGTACTTGGACATTTAGGTTATCCTTTGATTTTGTACTGTCCACACATTACTGCTGTGAAGACTCTCCTTTGAGTACCTCCATGATGGTTCTCTGTAAGAGGATAAAGAGGGGAAGTAGAGCCAGGGACCTGAATCTAAGTCTGGCTGATCCCGAGGCATGGTCATGATTGCCTTTCCCTTCTTTATGCGTACGTGTGTACTTAGTCGCTCAGTTATGTCTGACTCTTTGCAACTCCACGGACACTAGGCTCCTCTGTCCATGGAATTTTCCGGGCAAGAATACTTGAACGGGTTGCCATTTCCTACTCCAGAGGATCTTCCTTGAACCTGTGTCTTGTGTGTCTCCTGCGTTGGCAGGCAGATTCTTGACCACTGCGCCACCTGGGAAGCCCCTTCTCTTCTTTATAAGGGTAGATTTTATGTACCATTCCCTTCACGCTGATGCAAATCAGCAGGACTTCTGGCCCTGTCTTCTACTGTACTTCTCCCTAGTTCTTCCAGAAGGCAGCACTGAACGTACGAGACAACGTTGGGGAAGAAGTGGATGCTGAGCAGCTCATCCAGGAGGCCTGTCGGAGCTGCCTGGAGCAGGTGAGATCAAAGGGGAAGATAGATGTAGGCACAGGGGTTAGCCCTCTGGGCTCGGCAAAGACATACGGTCTCATCATCAGTGGTATATGGAAGGAAACCCAGTGAGCTTAGCCAGGGCTTGGAGCTTTGCAGACAGAGGAAAGGGAGGTAGCTACTAGATGCCAAGTACTATGGTAGACGCTTTCATCTGCATTTCCATCTCAGAAGAAACCTATACAGAAGGCACATTTCAATTCCTAGTTTACAGATGAAGAAATCGTGACTTAGAACAAGCAGGAGGTAGAAGAGCTAAGATCTGGCTCACCTCTGTAAGTGCGTGGTGACTTGACCCTTCATGTAGTCACAGCCCCTTTTGGTGTCACGAGCACCACCCCCACCCCCACCCCCCCCACCCCCCCATCCCCCCGCTGCTTTCTGCCTCCTTGCCTCCCAAGGTGTGGTCAGGAGGCATGACGTCATGCCTAGAAATGGCTGTGTGCTCAAGATAGTCGTGAACCTGTTTGCATGTGTCAGCTGCTGTTATTAATAGGAACTGTCAACATCACCCAGATTCTGTGCTTGACTGTGAAACCATTAGCTGTCAGAGATGGAATTTGCTTCATGACGATAGCCACAAGGGCAGGCTGGAGTTCAGTCCTTTGGGGTTGGTTATCATGTTGTTCAGTCGATAAGTCGTGTCTGACTTGGTGACCCCACGGACTGCAGCACACCAGGCTTCCCCTGTCCCTCACCGTCATGAGTTGAGAGAATAATGTCTTCTGGGAGGTTGGCTGGCAAGCTGCTCAGGCACAGCCTCAGAAAAGAGCAAGACCAGGGCCTCGAGTCTGAGGTTGTTGCCATTCATTCCCCCTGAAATACACATCTTGTCTGCCTGAGGACCTGTTTCTCCAGAGCACAGAGTGCCTCTTTTTCGTCTCGAGTTCCTCTCGGGGTGCAGTCTGCTTGCAGTGGGTTACAGCTTAACCCTCGTAGAGCTGAGCAACGCTCTTTGTTTTGTTTTGTTCATAAATCCCATCTCATCTCTGGCTCCCTGTCCTTCCAGGTGATTTTATCTACTCCTATGGCTTTGAAGCCAGTGTAGATGTTGATGATTCTAAACATACAGCTCAGCCCTGAGCTACTCCCCCATTTGCCTTCCTCCGCTCTGTCCTCACAGCAGCCAGCCCCAGGTTTTTAAAGATGAATTGGATTGTGTCTGATCATGGTCCCAAATCCTCTTTTCTATGTGTTTGTTTATTTGCTTGCCATCCAAATCCAGCACTTACATACTAGGCATTCAATATTTATTAAAAAAAAAAAAAAACAGCAGCTTACTGAGGAACATGTTTAACATCAGTGCATTTACTTAGAGAAAAATATTTAGCATATGTTTACATGGAAAAAGTGAGAAAGAGTCTTACATTGAAATGCTAATAGTATTCTGTGGGAACTGAGGTTTCAGATTTTTTTTTTTAATTTTGCTTATTTACATTTTTGTAACTTTTTAGTAATGATCCTTCATTATTCAGGGTTTTCAAAAAAGGTGTTTATTTGTATGACTATTTCAGGATCCCTTGGTACTGACCGTGAAAAAGTTTTAACAGAGTTTGAAGTTGTATCTAATCGAGGTAGATAGGTTTACCCACCAAAAGAGTGACTGATAACACTTTTTTTGTCTTTTCCCTTCAGGCTAAACTACTGTTTTCAGATGGAGAAAAAGTTATACCCAGATTGACTCATGAGCTTCCAGGGATAAAGGTCAGAGTCCCTGTGTGCTGGTGTTTTGCAGGCAGGACTGATCAGACTGGGAGGCTGGAGAGCTCTGTGGCCCTGAGGAGGCTGCATGGACCACCCCCTGTTTGTGGGACCAGGTCTGAATAGCATCCTGCCAGGAGGGCTGCTGAGTACTGGCTCAGGGAGGTGCCAGAGGGTGTGGTCCAGGGCTTCTGTCTTCTGCAGCCCCGGGGACCTGCAGCTCCTGGGCAGCGACCTCCATCTGACTCCCTTCCCTTCCCCACCCCCAGCGTGGCCGGCAGGCAGAAGAGGAGTGTGCCCTCCGAGGAAGCCCCATTCCCAAAAAGGTGAACCATCTCCTCATTTTCTGGCTGGGTAAAAGCCCTGCAGCTCCAGAAGAGGGTGGGCTTCCTCAGCGCCCCTTTGGGTCTTTCTAGCATGAGAGGCAGGAGTCTAGGCACAGTCACCCTCCCTGTTCACCCCCGAGTGTCATCTGGCCTCGCAGGGAAACCACCTCCTTCAAGCGACCCTGGTCCTGCCAGCGGGCTGGGGGCTCCCCCCAGGGCCAGGCCTCTGACGGCCATTCTGTTCTCTGTGGCAGCGGAAGGGACGGCCTCCGGGACACATCCTGTCAAACGACCGGTCCACCACAGGCATGGTGTGAGTAGAGGCCCGCAGAGCCGCGGGGAGGAGCAGGCGGGGGGCGGGCCTGGAGGAGAGGAAGCTGGAGTTAGCCGCCAGCAGCCTGGCAGACGCAGACTCATCTGTGCAAGAACCCAGGGAGGAGAGTTCTCTAGTCTGAGGGCTGGGGGAAGAAGGCAGCGAGGAGGAGGGTGTTGTATCCTGCTTTTACCCCAGAACAGTCAGCCCAGCTTCATTGAACACTAGAGTTTTTCTTTAAACACCAGAATTTTGTTTTATTAGTATGTACTGAATGTGGGGCTTCCCCAGTGGCTGAGCGGCAAAGAAACCTCCTGCAATGCAAGAGGCACAGGAGATGCAGGTTTGATGCATGGGTCGAGAAGATCCCCTGGAGGAGGGCGTGGCAACCCACTCCAGTCTTCTTGCCTGGAGAATTCCATGGACAGAGGAGCCTGGCATGGGCTACACAGTCAGGCACGACTGAAGTGACTTAGCACACACACATGAATGCTTGTAATGTGCCATCACTGGTCTAAACACCTAATACATACTTTTCCTTTTAATCCTTCCAACCACCCTCTGACAAAGGTATAATTAATTCTACAAGTAAGGAAACAGACTCACAATTACTTGCCCAAAGTCAGACAGCTAATAAAAGGCAAAACTGTACCACATTGCCTCCAGGATGGTCATTTTCAAAGACTATTGAAGGAACAGAATCTTTTTCAAACAGCTTTATGTGGAAGCCTAATACTGATATGTAAAAAAGATAAAGCCTCCCTGGTCAGGGAACTGAGATCCTGCAAGCTGCAGGGCATGGCTGAGGTTTGGAGGTAGGGTGAGGAGGAGCCACACTGATCTGTTTTGAAACCACCAGCTTAGGAGATGGATTAGTGTAATCCTCACACCTTAGACATGTCTCCTGCCTTAAGCAAATTCATTCCTCACTTACACAAGACTGGAAGTTGCTACTGTTACCTCTTCTGACAGATGAGAAACTGCATCCCAGAGAGGTTCCCGGATTTGCCCACGTGGCTAGATGGTGTCAGATCAAGTCCTAGAGTGGACTAGGACCCATTTTTTTTCCCTTTGCACCCCCTCTCATGGGCACCAGGCAGCAGTCCCCTTGAGGGTGGAGTGAGCATGTTTGAAGAGCTCCCACCAGTAGCAGCAAGCTTTCTTGCAGTCCTAGGCCCTGTCTCGGAGAATTCACCTTTCCTCTTTCCCTCCAAGCAGATGGAAACCAAAATCCTATGAACCAATTCGCCGGGAAGGCCCTAAGGTATGATGCTGTGAGCATGGCAGTGACCGCTGTCCCAGGGAGACCCCCATCCAAGCTCTGGGCTCCCCCTTGAGGGAAAGGGGCTGGGGTTGGTGAAGGATGTGTGCACCAGAGCCATTTTATGCGCCCACCTACCTCCCAACTCTAGCTTCCAGAAGGATCCCAAGTAAGGATTGAAATTAGGGGCAAAACAAAGAGTAGACTTGATCTTTGCCGCACCCTTCTCCCTGTAAAAGCTCTACGTCACCAAGACTTATCCAGTACTTCTATGTCATAGGCACTGCCCTACATCTTTGGTATGGATTACCTCATTTAATCTTTATCACAACCTGTTGAGAGAGATTCCGTTACCTTTCTATGGTTTATGAGCTTTCTTTCCTACCTCATGGCAGAAATTATTTTATCTGTTATCCTACACATTTGATACGCTTGAAGATTCTAAGGACTACAGAGTTGCCCAGAGTCATATACCGAGTAAGTGGCAGAGCTGTGTCAAACCCAAGGTCCAGGGACATCAGTCGGGGTTCTTAAAACTGTTAGGTTCTTTTGCCTCCAGAACAGTTGTTTGCAGACTTTTTTTTTTTTAATTTTAATATTTTTAACACCAAAAACATTTTGTTTTGGGGTATGCCAATTAACAATGTTGTGATAGTTTTAGGTGAACAGTGAAGGAACGCAGCCACACACATGCATGTATCCATTCTCCCCCAAACCCCCCTCCCATCCAGGCTGCCACATAACACTGAGCAGACTTCCATATGCTTACATTAGGTGTGTGTTTGTTATCCATTTTAAATAGAGCAGAGTGTGCATGATATTCCCAAAGTCTCTAACTGTCCCTTCCCTTCTCTTCCCACCTCCACTGGCAGCCATGAGTTCATTTTCTAAGTTTGGGAGTCTCTTTCTGTTTTGTAAGTTCATTTGTATCTTTTTTTTAGATTCCACATAAAAGCGATGTCATATGATATTTCTCCTTCTCTTTGACTTACTTCTCTCAGTGTGACACTCTCTAGGTCTATCCATGTTGCTGCAGATAACCTTATTTCATTCTTGTTAATGGCTGAATAATATTCCATTGTGTATATGCACCACAGTTTCTTTATCCATGCCTCTGTTGACGGATACTTCGGTTGTTTCTATGTCTTGGCCGTTGTAAGCAGTGCTGCAGTGAACACTGAGATGCATGTATCTTTTGGGGTCAATTTTTTCTCTGGATATATGCCCAGAAGTGGGATTGCAGGATTGTATGATAGCTCTGTTTTTAAAGGAGCCTCCATACTGTTCTCCATAGTGGCTGTTCCAGTTTATATTGCCATCAACAATTCAGGAAGGTTCCTCTCTCTCCACACCCTCTCCAGCATTTGTTGTTTATGGATTTTTGATGATGGCCATTCTGATGGATGTAAGAATAGAATCTTTTCTTCAACTAAAATCATACGTGCAAGCTCACCATCCAGTCACACATGATAGGTGAAAGCTCCACCATTCAGATTGAGGCTGTGTCCAGTGGAAATGGTCCCCCCATTGTTGTACTGGCCCGCTGCCTCCACCAGTGCCCACGCCTGCCTTCTTCACCTCTGCTCCCCTAGAGCAGGTGATCCCACAGCCCCCTAGAGCTCTGTCTTCTTTTCCAGACACCCCTTCTCTCTCTCCAGTGAGTCCTTCCTCTGCAATGGCCTGTATAAGTAGGCATTCCCCAGAATTCTCTCCATTGCCCACTTCTCCACCTCAGCTTTCTCTCCGGATGACCTAAAGCGTCTACACTTATTAGATTTCAGGGACTAGTACTTGCCGAAGTTGCCTTACCTCTTTGTTTGTACCCCACCTTTCCCTCTAGCTTAAAACCTGTATATCCTACTGTCTGCTGGAGCTCTCGGCCTGGAATCTCCGTAGAATTTCAAACTCAGCGTATCCAGAGTTGAAATCAGAATCTTTCTCCCACCCACTTCGACCTTCTCTCCTTGAATCATCTTTGCCTTTTCCTTCCTTTCCCCTCCCTACATCCAGTCCCAGCTGATTCTGCCTCCCAAATACATTCCCTAAAGAGGTCCCTATTCCCTCTTCTTCCTTCATCCTATTACTGCAGCACTCATCCCTTTTTTTGGCCAAACCGGCATGCAGGATCTTAAGTTCCCCAACCGGGATCGAACCCATCCCCCCTGCAGTGGAAGCAGAGAGTCCTAACCACTAGACTGCCAGGGAATTCCCCTTCATTTTCCAAACTGCTCTGTTACAACTACCTCTAAACTGTCCACCCCTCCTGTAGTCGAGCCACTTCACGCCCATTAGCCGAGTTACAGAAGAGCAAGCTATCGTGAGCACAAATCCAGCTCTCCCTGTCTGGAGGCCTTCAGTGGCTCTCCATCACCTCCAGCATAAACATAAAAAGCCGTCCACATAGTGAACGGGCGCCCCCAGCCCCGCCCGCTGCCACTCTCTGAATGCTCACTCTTTGAGCCGCGCAGGGCTGCTGTAGTTTCTGCAACGAGCCCCCCACCTGTCACCTGCCTGTTTGCGCCACCCCTCCTGCCTCGCCTCTTGCTGGTGTCACCGCCCACCTTGTAATGGTATCATTATCCACACATGTCTGTGACCCTGTGGAGAACATGAGACTGTCCCTGATTCATCCCCTCACCCCCCAGCCCCCCATGCCCCCCACTGCAGTTTATAGCACAGTGCCCAGTATACTAAAGTATTCAGTTTCTTAAATCAGCTGTTGTTCAGTAATGGCCAAGGATGAGGGTAGGAGAGGGTGGGAAAGAGTTTCTGTCCTGCCCACCAGATAAACCTCCACCTCACCAGCCTCTCTGTCTTTTGCACAGTGGGACCCAGCTCGGCTGAATGAATCTACCACCTTTGTGCTGGGATCTCGAGCCAACAAGTAAGTCTGTAAGGAGTTGGTGCTGTGGGAGGGGGCCCTGAGGGGTCCCCCTGAGCACCACGCCTGCTGGGATCCTCACCACTCGTCTGTTGCCTTGCAGGGCCCTGGGCATGGGGGGCACCCGAGGGAGAATCTACATCAAGCACCCACACCTCTTTAAGGTAGGTGAGTGCCAGGAGTCGGGCCGACCCTAGCTGTGGAGTAGGCAGCACTGGGAACTCTCCATGGCCCAGAGGAACCTGGAGTAAAACCTGACCCAGGAGCCAGGGCAGCGGGGTTCTAGTGGCCCCTCTGCCCTTAACCGCTGTGTCTCATAACCTGGCTCCAGTCCTCATCTATTTGCTGTGTGTCAAACATGGTTTTAAGTGCTACACTTACACTACCTCTTGGACGTGAGTCAGGATTCTGTCTTCTGCAAATCCTGAGCTCTTAACCAATGCTGTATTCAGTTGTCTGCGAAATAAAGAGATTGCAGCAGAGCAGCAGTTCTGACATTTCCAAAGAGGGGACTCCTCGCCTGAGCTATGCTTTGGTCTCCACTATTCGAGAAAATAATGAAGCAGGGAGGGCATGAATTCACGCTCTCAAATAAGTTTGTATTTTATCAGTCACAGAAGCATCCAAATGTATTAGAAAAAAGGTAACACACACGTGGTTCAGGTTAATGGTTTTTGCACCTATGTGCAAGACTCGGTGCCCCTTGTCAGAACAGCTCCTTGGGGTCTCAGAATCATGGGCTCTGGCCTCTACATTCGGTGCAAGTTCAAGTTCTTTAAAGGGCAAACCTACTTGTATCTTAATCAGTTTTATGTTTTGGGATTTTCAACCTATGTTTTGGCCCACGTGCTACTGCTTCATTTTCTTCCCTTGGTGTCTTCAATCCTGCTGTTCCCTTTGATGACCTTCCCCTGCCCCGCCCCCCGACCCCTTTGTCTGCCTGACTGTTCTGTGGGATGCACCTTATCCAAGACCCTTGCTGGCATCATTGCCAAATGGATATGCTCTTGGACCTACTTCCAGTTCCTTTTGTGCAACGGTTAAGAGTATCATCTCAGTCCCAATTCCAGTACTTACTAGCATGTGACCTTGGGCAAGTGGCTCCACATTTCTGAGCCTGTTTTGTCCCCTGTAAAATGAGAAGGATGCAGACTAGCCTTTTGTGGTTGGTAGAATTAAGAAAGAATGCAGTAAAATATAGCCTTTTTTTGTAGTAACTTTTCTTTTTAGTACTTATTTGGCTGCATTGGGTCTTAGTTGAGACTCAGGCTTAGTTCCTTGACCAGGGATCAAACCCGCATCCCCTGCATTGGAAGGCAGATTCTTAACCATTGGACCACCAGGGAAGTCAGTAGTAATAACTTTAAAAGGAATATAGTCTATAAAAACACTGAATCATTGTGTTGTACACCTGAACTTAATATAATATCATGAATCAGCTATACTTCAAAAAAAAAACAGACCTCCTCTATTAAAAGAGAGAGAGAGAGAGAGAGATAAAGCACAGTAAAACCCCAGACGATCCAGCCTAGCAAGGGCTCGGTAAATCGTCAGCATTACCAGCATACTTTCCCAGTTCTTAGACCCATCGTTGGTAACAAACTCATGGCCAGTGGGTACTCTCTCTTACTTTAATCTTTTCAGAATAATAAATGCAGGGGAAAAAAATTTTTGTTTTTTTTACTTTTAATTCTTTACTAGTGATGATAAGCATCTTTCCATCCATTTAGAGTTTTTGTGTTCCTTCTGTAAACTGCCCGTTATACTTTTGCCCATTCTTCTGTCCTTCTAAAGGCATTTTGCAAATTTCCTTTTTGTTTTTAACTTTTTTAAATTATAGAAATAATATATAAACCCATTCTTATAAAAGGATTCAAACAATACACTGAAGCTAATAGGGAGCAAGGCACCAAACTCCGCTTCACCCTCGACTCTGACTCTTCTCTGCTAGAGGTTACCCCCAGCAACATGGTAGCATTTTTCAGTCCTCTGTGTGTGTGTGTGTGTGTGTGATATGTGTGTGTGTGATGTGTGTGTGTGTGTGTGTGTCCTTGTCCTTTAATGATGTTTTGTTTATGTTATTGGTCTTACACTATATATATTGCTCTGTTTTTTTTACCCCAAAATTCATTCATTCATTCAAATATCTATTGAGTACTGAGCAGTCTCAGACTGCAGAGATACAGCAGTGGGCAAAAGAGACACACACAACTCCTTGCCCTCACAGAGCTTACAGTCTAATGTAGAGCAAGCTGTGTAGCCTGGAGCCAAATCCAACCTGTAGCCTGTTTTTGTCCAATGCAGAGTGATGACATTTTAAAGGGTAATTTAAAAAGAAAGAAAAAATAAAGATTATGTGACCAGCAAAGCCTAAACTATTTATAGAAAAAGTGTGCTGACCACTATAAATCTAGGGAATAATACCTTAAGAGATTTGTCCATGTTATTAAGTCCCCCTCATTTTACTTTTTTTTTCAAGATTTATTTTTGACTGTGCTGGGTCTTTGTTGCTGCACAGGCTTTTCTCTGCTTTTGGAGAGCAGGGTCTACTCTCTAGTTGTGATGCACTAACTTCTCATTCCATTGGCTTCTCTTGTTGCAGAGCTCAGGCTCTAGGACACATGGCTTCAGTAGTTGAGGCTCCCAGGCTTTAGAACACAAGCTCAATAGTTGTGGTGCATGGGCTTAGTCGCTCCTCGGCATGTGAGGTCTTCCCAGATCAGGGATGGAACCTACATCCCTTGCATTGACAGGCAGACTCTTCACCACAGAGCCACCAGGGAAGCCCTTTTTTTTTTTTTTTATTTGTTTATTTTTGGCTCCACTGGGTCTGTGTCCACCCTTCTCTAGTTGCGGCAAGCAGGGTCTTCTCTAGCTGTGGTGCACGGGCTGCTCATCACAGTGGCCCCCTTGTTGTGGGGCACAGGCTCTAGGTGCCCGGTCTTCAGTAGTTGCTGAATGTGGGCTCAGTAGTTGTGGCACACAGGTTTAGTTTCTCCCCGGCATATAGGATCTTCACCGACCAGGGACTGAACCCATGTCCTCTGCATTGGCAGGCAGATTCTAATCCACTGGACCACCAGGGATGTGCTGACTCCTTTTAATTTTAACAACAAGCCTATAAGTGTTAATACTCTCTGTCTTACAAATGAAGAAACTGAGTCTCAGAGAAATCATTGCCTCGATTTACACCACCTAATAAGTAGAAGAAACCGAGATTTATGAACCAAGTTTTTTTTCTTTTCTTTCTTGCTGTTTTAACCTGCCGCCCCCTGGAAGCCCACCAGGCCAAACTAGCCACCTCATATGCTCATCTCCAGCTCTCCCCGCCACATGCGCTCCCCGTGGGCTGAGTTCTGAACCCCACAGTTAACTTCTTACCCATGATGCTCTTCTGCCTCCAGGGCATGAAGTGTCCTGAGTTTTGTTTTAGAAAATTTGGTCACTTTAATAGCCACATATGTTGTAAGCCATCTCCAATCACTTCTTCAAAGAGGAGTATAGCTCTCAGATATAGTCACCAGTCTGACCAGTTGCCAGAGGTGCTGTGTTTTAAGGAAGGAAAGGGAGGATACTCTGGTTTCTCTTGAAATCGAATAAATCTTTTGCCATTTACTAAAGATTTCCGTAGAGAGAAACAACTCTGAATGTTCAACTCTGTGCCCTGGGCAGGGCTCATCTTTAATGTTATGGTGGTGGTTTAGTCGCTATATCATGTCCAACTCTTGGCAAACCCCCACTGTAGCCTGCCAGGCTCCTCTGTCCATGGGATTTCCCAGACAAGAATATGGGAGTAGGTTGCCATTTCCTTCTCCAGGGGATCTTCCCCACTCAAGGATTGAACCTGGGTCTCCTGCATTGCAGGCGGATTCTTCACCAACTGAGTTACCAGGGAAGCCCCTTGATGTTATAATAAAAGATAAAGTAAACGAAAGCAAAGAGGGGAGTTCCTTGGTGGTCTAGTGGTTAGGACTGCCATGCCCCAGGTTCAGTCCCTAGCTGGGGAACTGAGATCCCACAAGCTTTGAGTCTTGGCCAGAAAAAAAAAAAAAAAAATGAAAAAATTTTTAAGGGAAAGGAATTAGAAGTATATTAAATCTCTGGGGATTGGCCCCCTTCCCTGGCCTCCTGGGCTCAGCCCTGTTTGCTCTGAAGAGGTCAGTGAGCCCTCTCCAGCCACCAGAGGTCTTGTTGGTAAGAAGGCCTCAAAGGCTAAGTGTATGTTCTGAACCAAATGAAAAATGCCCATCACACCAGGCTAATGTCTCCCCCTGTGGCTTCATCCCTCACAGTATGCAGCTGACCCCCAGGACAAGCACTGGCTGGCCGAGCAGCATCATATGCGGGCAACTGGGGGAAAGATGGTAAGCACTGTTCACACGTGCCACTGCCAGGGACCCACCCAGTCCAGAGACCAGGGCTGTTGGTGACAGCTTACCTTCAAACCTAAGAGACTCCACGCCCAACAAATGAGAAAGGAGACTTGTAGGAGTAGAGAGGGCCCATTCCTTCGTGCTGAAGACCTCCCTGTAAGCGCTGCCTTTCCTCTCCTGTGCCCGGGTCTCCCACACACTGCCCCCCGCCCTCCATGGCCCCCTCATACGTAGTTCATAGTAGCTGATGTAAGAGTGGCAAGTACAAGACACACCTAACACTGCCATCACGCACTGCCTGTTGATAGATCTCACCCTCCATCACAACTCTGCCACCAGACACAGCTTTGGGATCTCTTCTTAGCACTGCCCCAGGCAGCACCCCTTGTCAGAAAAAATTAGCACATGCAGTGAAACTTGTTTGCCACACCTGGCAACCCCTTCCAGAATCACTTCTACTTGAAGAGTTCTCAGCGCAAATCAAGCAACATCCTTAGGAAAATCATCGTCACGTGTATTCTAAAACTGTCATGGAGGGATGTGTCCATCACATGCACTGTCTCTCACCTGAAGATGCACTTAGTCCCACTGCTGGGACTGCTCCTGTCAGAATTTAGTGGCCTTGTAAGCCACTACACCATCCCCTACCTGGATACCTTTTATTTTCTACTATATTTATGTTACACTCGCTTTCAAAAAGGATTTTAGGAAGCTTACTGTGAACACATAACATAAATAAGAAATAGAGAGGAAAAAAGGAAAGGCAAAATCGAAAATTAAGGCAGGAGCAAGACTAGTTATAAAAAAGGATTGTTGTGTGTTTTGTTTTTTTTTTAAAAAAGGGCAGGGGAATTTTAAGTTACCAGCCTGGGAGACCAGTGCATGTCTATAGGTTTTCACAAATTCAGTTCCTGTGCCCCTAAGATGAAGACAGTCAAATGACTCAAGGGACACACAATTATTTCTGACCCTAAGACTGGAAAGAAATGCCTCCCACAGAAGACTGTCATGTGATGAACATCATCACCCACGTGGTAAGTTCACAAGAGGGCTCTCCCAAGGCAGATCGTGGCATTGTGCCAAAGCAGTTCTACAGGCCCCGGACCACACAGCCCAGCTTCTGGACAGCAGTGCAGTTTATCGTGTTTGCCCTTTTGCCTCAGAGTTCAGAACCAGCTTATCTTAGTTCTGGGGTTCACACATGGCTTCCTTCTGATTTCCTGTTTCCATGTGTACTTTGCTGGCTCTCTGGCTCTTTCATTTTTTTTTAATTTACTTTTGATTGAAGGATAATTACAATATTGTGTTGGTTTCTGCCATGCATCAACATGGATCACCCATGGGTACATATGTCCCCTCCCTCTTGAGCCTGCTTCCCACTTCCTACCCCGTCCTATCCCACTAGGCTGTCCCAGAGCCCCAGTTTGAGTTCTGTGAGTCATACAGCAAAGTCCCATATCTGTCTTACATATGTTAATGTATATGTTTCCGTGCCACTCTTCATTTGTCCCACCATCTCCTCCTTACCCCGCCCCCCTCCATGTCAATAAGTCTGTTCTCTATGTCTGCACCTCCATAACTGCCCAGCAAATAGGATCATCAGGACCATCTTTCTAGATTCCATATATATGGGTTAATATACAGTGTTTATTTATCTCTTTCCAACTTACTTCACTCTGTGTAATAGGCTCTAGGTTCACCCACCTCATTAGCACTGACTCAGGTGTGTTCCTTTTTATTTGCCCTTTCATTTTAAAACACCTCAGGGTCTCTTTTTACAAGAGATGGCAGCTATAGATAAATTAGTCACCATTGCCCACTCCCACCCAGAAAGTTTCAACTTAAGTGAAAGATGTCTCAAGGAACTGTTCCCCAGACAGTCTCTCCTTACTCTCTCCATTGCTAAATTATAAACTGCGACTACTGGCCCCTCCCAGCCCTTACTTTAAGCAGACATTTAATAAAGTGTTAATCGAGTTGGGCTGAAATGAACCAGAGGCAATGATGACTCTCCTTTGCTCCTGCCCTAGGCCTACCTCCTCATTGAGGAGGACATCCGGGACCTCGCTGCCAGCGATGACTACAGGTAAAACCATTAGTCTCTGCTCTCCCCTCCCCACTGGGATGAGCTTAGACCTACATCCTCCCTTGCTTCAACCCTCCTCCTCAATGTCTGTTCTAGAGGATGCCTGGACCTGAAGTTAGAGGAGCTGAAATCCTTTGTCCTGCCCTCCTGGATGGTTGAGAAGATGCGGAAGTACATGGAGACACTCCGGACAGAGAATGAGCATCGTGCTGTCGAAGCACCTCCACAGACCTGAAACCAGGTCCCCTGGTTACACTTGGCAGCCCTCCTCCAAGGCCCTTGTACCCACATGGCTGAGGCCACTGCTGGGACTGCTCCTAGATGGATCTCAGCAGCATTAAGCTATGCCTGGTCTAGTTTGTAGTGACTCACTGCAGAGCGCCCCCAGACTGGCATGTGGTTCTATATTTGTAAAGTTATTGGGATAAGAAGCAATTAAACAGTTTGTAATAAACACAGATGGTGAGCCTGCTGTGAGGTCTGCCAGTGGGGGCTGACAAAATATCAAGGGCTCTAGAGGAAGTGGGTGTAGGAAAAAAGGACCAGGCACCCTCACCACAGCAAGCCCAGTGACCCGCGAATATCTGCTTTGTGAGATGAAGCTGGGGACACCATGGATTTTGCCAGTCTTCCCTGTCCCTCTGTTTCTGTTTCCTCACCCAACTAAAGCGTGGAATAGCAGAATGTGATGGCTGGCACCATGGGAGGTTGATGACAAATCAGAAGAAAAATGTAAGGTGGCTTTTATTACCCCCATTCTATAGGTTAAAATTCTAAATTTTGTGCCCAGGGTAACGCAGCAAACTGTTGGAGAGGCAGCCAATGAAGCTGTTTTCCAATACGGACTCTCTCACTCTAACCATCAGCTTCTAGTTTTTTCCCTCACCTGCGTGTTCAGACACCTAAGGCCCCAACCAAAGTGCCTAGGACATTAATAACAGGTGGAGGAGCTGGGGTTTCCGGTTTTAGGGACGAGTGTGGCTTCCCAGGTGTCATACAGGTAAAGAATCCGCCTGCCAATGCAGTAGACAGCAAGAGACACTGGTTTGATCCCTGAATTGGGAAAATCCCCAGGAGTAGGAAATGGAAACATACTCCAGTATTGCCTGGAAAGTTCCATGGACAGAGGAGCCTGGCAGGCTACAGTCCGTGGGGTCGCAGAGTTAGGACTGAGAAGCGCACACAGACACAAGATTGGAGACCCTCGGTAAGGGAGTGCCGGGTGTTGCCGACTGTAGCCAAGTATTTGACCTACAGGGATTCATCCCACGTGGACGTCTTCTAGGCCCTTTAATGGTCGGCGTTTTCCAAAGGCGGCCAATCCATTACAGGTTCGTTAATCAATGACAGCCTCTTCTGCCAATCGCCAGTGAGAAGCCCGATTCTGTCGCCCAATAGTAGTACGCTGGTAGGTGGGTCTAGCGGTTGCGCGGTGACATAGCACTATGGAGTGCCCCATTGGCTGGATCAAACCCAAGCGAGCCACTGATTGGTTAGCGCTGCCGAAGGGTTACAATTCAAACGCGGGCGGGCGGGCCCGCAGCACTGCAGTTGCAACTGTGAGCTCCGCAGTACCGCTTATCTCCGTCTCATCGCCGCCCGGATGGCTTCCCAGAATCGCGACCCAGCCTCCGCCAGCGTCGCCGCCGCCCGTAAAGGAGCCGAGCCCAGCGGGGGTGGCGCCCGGGGCCCCGTGGGCAAGAGGTGAGTGGTGTGGAGGTAACACCCGCCCGGCCTGGCACGCCCTGCGCATTTGGGGCCGAGAAGGAAGACTTCCGGGACCCCCCCCCCCCACCTCCTCCTGGAACGGGTAAGATACGGGAGTTAGAGAGACACGCCAGAAGCTCTCCTGCTCTTAAGAGACACTCCCGAAAGAGGACGGAAGGGGTAGGATCGCTGCCAGGATCCTCTGTCAGTGAGCCGAGATGAAGATACTCCGGCGATCCTCGGTGGCTAGGCCGGAGGGCGGCGGGGGAGCGGGGTCGGGGAGGAAGAAGGGGAGAAATTGAGATCCGGAGAGAGACGCCAGAGAAGCAGATGGGGTTAAGAGTAAGCCAGATCCTCGAATTAGGAAGGGTGAGGGCTCAGTAGTACCCTTCTATGGAAATGGAGGTGACTGTTCCTACAGGTGAGTCTGACTTCAGGGTGGAGGAAAGCCTCAGTGACAGCTGCCCCAGAGACTGGGATGGGAGGAGGTACCGGGAGTCCTGGCCCATCCAGACCCCCAGGTGACTCCAAGTACTCTTTTTGCAGGCTGCAACAGGAGCTGATGACTCTCATGGTGAGTGACTGGTGCCCAGATCCCCAACCAACTGGTCTACCCTCCCACCTCCTGTCACTTATCAGTGGCTTCCTTTCCTACATCAGGCTCTTTGGTAGTCGTGGGGGTAAAAAGATGAGTCCACCTTTCTCTCTTCTGGAAAGAAGTTAATCCACCCCACCTACACACCTTTTCTTCCGCAATCTCTACTCCCCAGTACCATCCCCCCACAGTGAAGCTGTACCTAAAATACAGCTCTTGTACAAGGCCCTCTCCCTGTCCTGCCTGGCCCTACTTCCCTGCCCTAAGGTTTGAAAAAAGTGAAAGTGTTAGTAGCTTAGTGGTGTCCCCCTCTTTGCAACCCCATGTACTGTAGCCTGGTAGTCTCCTCTGTCCAGGGAATTCTCCAGGCAAGAATACTGGAGTGGGTAGCCATTCCCTTCTCCAGGGGATCTTCCCGCATTGTGGGCAGATTCTTTACCCCCTGAGCCACCAGGGAAGCCCTCAGGTTTATCCACACCTGTCTCTCCATCCTTCTTAATATTCCTAATCCTGTCATACTTTGGAACGCTTCCTTCCTGGACTATGTTTTCTACATTAACCCTAGATACTCAACTCACATCCTTCAATGACCATATTGTTCCTCTTCCCAGTCTGTGAATAGCTTCTGGGCTTCATCTATAACCAGCACTCAATAGCATGTTGAGGGAATTCCCTGGTGGTCCAGTGGTTAGGACTCAAAGCTTTCACTGCCTTGGGCCAGGTTCCATCCCTGGTCAGGGAACGAAGATCCCACAAGCCAAAGAACAGCCAAATAAAATAGCATGTTGAACTGAATTCCCACAGCATTAAAGGTACAGAGCTGCCTTCTGCTTCCCTACATAACATCTCCTTGTGGCGATGAAACTCCACAATCCCAGTACTCCCCTCAGGAAAGCATTTCGGTTTGGCCAGGTTGCTATTATTTTGGATCAAAATGTGAGGTTAAGAGAAAGGGGTTCACTGACTGGCGCCCCCAGGAGCGAACTCTTCCAGCCCAGCATGTGTTGTGTTTGCTCCCCAGATGTCTGGCGATAAAGGAATTTCTGCCTTCCCTGAGTCGGACAACCTCTTCAAATGGGTGGGGACCATCCATGGGGCCGCTGGCACAGTAAGTGCAGGGACGGGGGAGGGAAGTGTGACTCGGCTGAGTCTGGGGAGAGGTGGGAGGTGAAATCCAAGTGCCAGGTCTGCTTCGCCTTTGGCCCGGCAGGACGCTCCCCTGTGTCTGCTGGGGTGCCCTGAGCCTGTGGCCCTGGCCTCCCGGCCTACAGTGAGAGGCTGGGTGTAAGGCAGCGCTCTCCAGCTGAGATGGCTTACAGAGGACCAGACAGCAAAGACAATTGAGCACTTAGGCTGGTGGGCCTTAGACCAAAGGATCACTGAGGACCCCACCAGATACGAGAGAAAGCACCAAACCAGTTTCATGCTTTGTCTTCTGTCGAGTCTCAGATGAACTTAGGGGTCCTGGCAAGTCCCTTATGTGGGGCTTGAGCTGGGAACCGAGGCTCAGGGCGGGAGGGTTACCCTGCGAATCTCTTTCTCCAGGTATATGAAGACCTGAGGTATAAACTGTCCCTGGAGTTCCCCAGTGGCTACCCTTACAATGCGCCCACGGTGAAGTTCCTCACACCCTGCTACCATCCCAATGTGGACACCCAGGGTAACATCTGCCTGGACATCCTGAAAGACAAGTGGTCCGCCCTGTATGATGTCAGGACCATCCTGCTCTCCATCCAGAGTCTGCTCGGAGGTGACTGCCTGGCCCGGCCCCTCCCCCAGAACCTGGGGACCTGTCAGGACTCCCCCGGGCTGCCTCCTAGCCACACCTGATCCTTCTTTTCATCCACCCACAGAGCCCAACATTGATAGCCCTTTGAACACACATGCCGCTGAGCTCTGGAAAAACCCCACAGGTGGGTCCTTCATCCTGAGGGCACCGGACTATCCCTTCCCAACCTTCAGAAGCTCCTTCAAACAACAGGAGGATTCCAGTGACTTGAGAATGTGTCCTGATGTCTTAAGGGGGCCAGGCAGGGAGTGGCAGGGTGGGGGACCGGGGAGGGGGTAACCCACTTCCACCTCTTCCTTGATGTGTCTGGTTCTCCTATTTGCTATAAAATCAGAAAAACCAACCCATTCCACATTAATGGAGCTTGGGGAGATTTTCAGTAGAAGGCAAAGCTTTGTGCAAATGTCTCTCAGGGCCCCTAGTTGCCTCCCCTGTCCCTGGGAGCAGAGCTACCCTCTAGAAGCAGAGTCCATCCAGGAGACCTGTCTGGGTGACCAGCAGAGGGTCAAACTGTTGTGCTGGGAAACCCCTCCCAGCTCCCCAAACTCCTCCCACGTGTGTATTCTTGCTGCTGTCTTGCCCACCTTACCCCTGCCCCCATCACTCACCGAGACCTGCCTGTTCTCTTCCAGCCTTTAAGAAGTACCTGCAAGAAACCTACTCAAAGCAAGTCTCCAGCCAAGACCCCTGACCTGGGATGTCCAGCTCTCCTTGTGTTGTCTTTTTTTCTTTTTTTTCCTTAGGCGGTCTGTCCATGCCTCGATTTCTGTACAGGACTCTGTCTTATCTGTGGTGTCATTTTTGTTTTGTTTCTGTTTTTTAAATTAAGTGTGGTTAAACCCTTGTGATGAATATATTAAATAAATACATTTTGGGGTTTTTATAGCAAGTTGCTGTTTTGTCATTACCCAAGGGTTGGAAGTGCCCAGGGTTAGCAGAGATCAGGTTTAGGGTTTGGGTTCTCTGCTCCACAGCCCAGGGAGTAGAAACAGCTGATAGGCTGTAGGGCTGAGCAAGGGAGTGACAGGATTCCCTCCCTTGCAACCTGAGTTATTTTATGATTCTGCATCTGTTTCCTCATCTATAAAACGGGTGTCACAAAATGCTAGTTTCTGGGAGTTCCCTGGCAGTCTAGTGGTGAGGAGTCAACGCTCTCACTACTGCAGCCCAGGTCCAATGCCTGGGAACAGATCCCAGAAGCCACACAGCGTGGCAATAAATAAATACTAATTTAAAAAAGAAAAGCAAAATGCTGATCCTATGGAGTGGTGACACAGACCAGGAATATAGGTGTTGTCCCAGTTGTGTTGCAGATGAAGCTGAGCCAGATCTTAAGACTGAAACAGTGATTACAGTGTGTATGTATGTGTTGGAGGGGATTGGAAAGAGGACCAGACACCCACTTTATGACAGTAGATTTTTTTGACCCTGAAGAAGGAGCAAGAGGACATTCAGGTGACCCTACAGCCGGCCCAGGCTCTCAGGAGGCAGCCAGGGGAAGTTTTCTGGATCGAGGTTGCAAGTCACCCCCTGCCCCAGGTCCTCCATTGATGGCTCCATCTCCACTGGGGCACATTCACCTGCTCCATCTCCCAGCATTTCCTCTGCTGTACCACTGGTCCAGACCCCCAGGCCCTTGGGCCATCTTTCCACTGACCCACCACAGGCCTTTGGGCCCCTAGGAGGAAACCCCTGTGTTGACCAGCTGGGTCGCAGCAGGCTGAGGTGCTGGGCCCCGCCCAGGTCCCGCAGGAAGATCTCCGTGAGAAGCTCAGGTGCGCTCCAACAAGGCCCGAGTGTTGCCCTGCTCCCCCAGCCTGGTCAACTGTGTCTGCAGCTGCTTGTGCAGGCCTGGGGTAGGGGAGGAGGAGGAGACAGCAGGAGACAATCAGGAAGGTTCTCACCCACCTTTTCCTCTTAATCCAGCTAGCCCACATCCCTGTGCCCTGACCAAGCTGTCACACGTGGAAAGAAATGTGGTTGGAACTTAGATGTCCTCTGATCAATTTCTTCATCTCAGATTGTGCTGTTGGCTCTCTTCTTGGAGCTTAAACTCCTGTTGCTCAATCTACCTGCTTGTAAACCTGCCCAGGATTTTATTCAAATACAAATTTTGATTCAGTCGGTCTGGGTGGGGCCTGAGGCTCTGCAGTTCCAATCAGCTCCCAGGGGGTATCATTGCTGTTTAGTTAAAGGTACAGAGCAGTCTTCTCATGGTGTGGTCCTTCCACTTGTCACCGGGATCTGGCTAGAAATGCAAGTTCTAGCCCCAGTAATCTGTCCAGATGATTCTGACACTCTCAAATTGAAAATCACCAAAAAAATAAAAAGAAAATCGCCAGACCAGGCTTCCCTGGTGGTCCAGTGGTTCAGAATCTGTCTGCCAATGCAGGGGACACAGGTTCGACCCCTGGTCCAGGAAGATCCCATATGCTACAAGGCAACTGAGCTCGTACGCCACAACTACTGAGCCTACATTCTATAGAGTCCGCCAGTCACAACCCCTGAGCCCACGCATGCCCTAGAGGCCATGACCTGCAACAAGAGAAGTCACTGCAATAAGAACTCCACGCACTGCAACCAAGAGTAGCCCCGCTTGCTGCAACTAGAGAAAGCCCGTGCGCAGCAACAAAGACCCAGTGCAGCCAGAAATAAATAAAATTAAAAAAAAAAAAAATCACCAGGCCAGGAGACATCTGAGAAGAGCAGAGCTCAGAATCTGACACTGGTTCTTAAGTGCTGGCCAAGGTGGATGCGTCTTTGCCTGCCTTAGGAAGCCTCTTTATGTGCTTTCATAGATGGTGGTGTCTGACCCGCACCCCACCCCAGATGGTCACGTGGCCTACAAGTGTCAGTCACAGAGACCCAACTCTACATTATCATTCAGAACTAATCCCTCCAAGAAAGTAAAACTGCTTTCTTGAACACTACTAGGGCTGCTAAAAGAGGAGGGAGTCAGTCTGGGCTGCTGGTGGAGACAGCTGCAGATGGAAGAATGCCAAGCGGAGACAAACAGCTGAGCGATGACACTGAAACTCTGGCCTCCACTTCACGCCTTGGCATCCCAGTGTCACAAGTCAACAAATCTCTTTTTGGTATAAGTCAGTTTGACTTCGGCTTCTGACACTAGCGCAGGAAGTATGAGAAGGTGGTCGTGGTTGCTAAGTCGCTAAGTCACGCCTGACTCTTGTGAACCCATGGACTGTAGCCTGCTAGGCTCCTGTGATAATCGTCATTCACATTCATTCAGTACAGCGGTTGAGTGCCTACAAGGTAAAGACCCCAGGTTGGGGGCTGGGGATAAGGCAGGGAAGAGGACACAGTGCTGTCCTCAAGGAGAATGAAATTTAGGGAACAGACAGACATATCAATGGGGCTTCCCAGGTGGCTCAGTGGTAAAGCCTCCACCTGCCAATCCCTAGATTGGGAAGATCCCCTGGAGAAGGAAACAGCAACCCACTCCAGTATTCTTGCCTGGGAAATCACATGGACAGAGGAGCCTGGCAGGCTACAGTCCATGGGGTCACAAAAAGGCAAACATGATTGAGTGACTGAATCCGTACACAAGCAAAGGCATGTCAGTAGCAGGAATAAGTGGTGGTTAAAGTAGAACTGTGTTAGAATTCCTGATCCACTCCCATATTACTTGTACACACTTGGGAACTTAGAGCAAACCTCTCTGTAAAATGGAAATAAGGGCATCTGTCCCTGGGGTTGTGTGGATAAATGAGACAGTGAGCAGCACACAGTAGGCACTCATAGGGATGATTACTAAACTCCAGCACAGCTCCTGGCTGGAAATACCACCCAGGAAACACAAATGAGTCAGAAAGAGGAGAAGAAAACACGGAGTTGGAGAGAGAGGGCTAGAGTGATGAATAAGAGTTCAATGTTTCAAGATGATAACAACATTACTAAAAGGATTGACTGTATGCTGACTGTGCTAGGCTCTATTCTAAGCACTTGGTACACATTAACTAGTCCTTCCAAACCTCTGAAAGTCGCTCAGTCATGTCTGACTCTTTCGGACCCCATGGACTGTACAAATGCATAGAATTCTCCAGGCCAGAATATTGGGGTGGGTAGCCTTCTCCTTCTCTAGGGCATCTTCCCAACCCAGGGATCAAACCCAGATCTCCAACATTGCAGGCGGATTCTTTACCAGCTGAGCCACGAGGTAAGCCCAAAGATAAGTCTGTCATTGTCCCCATTTTACAGATTAGGATAGGGAGCAGAGAGTGGTTTGTCACCAGCAATGAGGATTCAAACTCAGCCTGACCAAAGCCAAACTACCACTGCACTTAATTAGCTTCGTCCCGACTCTCACTATCCTTGAGTTGTTTCCAAAAGAGCTCTGGACGCCAGAGTGCAGCCAGTCACCGCACGGATCAAGGAAGGACGTGATGGTATCTGAGCTGGGTCTTGGTATCTTGGAGATGGCATCTGAGCTGGGTTGCAGGATTTGCCAAGGCAGAGGGAGAAGGGCAGTCCAAGGAGAGAGAACAACGTGTGCACAGGCCCGAGGGCTTAAAACTGCACCCACCTCCAGAGCAAAAGAGAGAGGCCGGAGCCTCTCGAGGGGAGGGGCAACGGTGGGAGGAGAGGACTGAATCTGGATTTGATTCTAGAAGCAGAGGGGGCCCTGGAAGCGCCAGGCGCCGCACAGCCCCTCGGCTAAGCTGTCACGCACGCTCAGTCGCGAAACTTCTGAGGGCACGGAACGCCACCTCGGGTTCCCGAGTCCCGCTGCGCTCGGACCCGAGGACGCTCAGGCGGCTCCAGCCTTGCGGGCGCCCTGGACGGTGGCCCAACCAGGCGGCCCGGGACACTCGATCCGTCCCCGTCCTCCCCTCTACTCAGGCCACGCGCTTTGCAATGTTTCCTTTTATTCCTTCCAGACACATCCCCAGACGGGGCCGCGCCTCCCTCCCGGGGCGGGGGAACTGGAGCGGCCCGGGGGGCAGTGCCGCCCACGCCCGAGGGCCGCGCGGTGTCGGTGGCTGCAAGGGCCAACTTCTTACTGCACGCCCTCCATCATCTTCAGGAACTCTGCGAGAAAGGAGACAGAGGGGCGCTCACGAGTCTCCCCGCGGCGGACGAGGCCGGACAGCTCCGGCCTCTTAGACGTGGCGCCCGGCTATCAGCGGCTGCATTGCACAAACTGGCCCCGCCCCGCCCCGCCCCGCCCCGCCCCGCCCCGCCCTCAAGGCGGAGGACGCCAGCCTGGGCGCGAAGCTGCGGGGGCTCTCGTCCCCGCAGCCCCAGACCCTCACCGTCGAAGTCAATGCGGCCGTCGTTGTTCTTGTCCCCGTCCTTCATCAGGGATTCGAGCTCCTCGTCTGTCACGTGCTCCCCGGAGGCCCGGAAAATCTCCGCCAGCTCCTCGGCGTCGATGTAGCCGTCCGCGTTCCTGCGGGCGTGTAGGGCCGGGGCGCGGGGAGCTCAGGGCTCGCAGGGGCGAGCCGCTCGCGCCACGCTCCCCGCCCTCTCCTGTACCCCTCCCCTGCCCCCCCAGAACCTTCGGGACCTGCGGGCCAGATTCAGACTGCTCGGCTCTTGGCTGCTCCCAGGGCCCCCGACGCACCTGTCGAAGATGCGGAAACACTCAGCCAACTCCTCCTCGCTCTTGCCCTTGGCGTCCTCTTTCATCTGGCGCACCATCATGACCAAGAACTCCTCGAAGTCGATGGTGCCGCTGCCTGAGGGGAGCGGGTGGTGAGCGGGCCAAGCCCTCGCTGCCACCCTCTCCCCGCCGCCCACCCTCCCACCCCCCAAGGGCCACCCGCTCACCATCCTCATCCACCTCCTCGATGATGGCGTCCAGCTCCTCTTTGGTGGGTGTCTGGCCCAGCATCCTCATCACGGTGCCCAGCTCCTTGACGCTGATGTCCCCGCCGCCATCCGCGTCGAACATGTCGAAGGCGGCTTTGAACTCTGCCAGGGCGAAGAGGGCAGAGGGCCGCGGTGAGCCTGGCGAGACTGTCAGCCTCACATCCACACACTCTCTCCCTGCCTGCCCAGACACCCCAGGTTCGCCGGCACCCCGCTTCCCAGCAGCCAGCCCGCCCACCCCCACTCACCAGCGATCATCTCCTCGCTGAGGTAGGACCGGGCCTCAGCCTGCTGGTCCGTCTGCAGAAGACACGGGCCATCAAAGAGCCGAAGGGGCAGCCCGGAGTACATTCCTGCCTTCACCCCGTTCTCCTGCACCCCAATTTCTGTACATGCCCCCTAAGTCCCTGCAGAGCAACAGCTCCCAGTTGCCCCACTCTGGGCATGCCCCCACAGCACCCAGCCCCACTTTTGAAGAACTGGGGATTATGTTTCGCTTGTCAATCAGAGATCAAGTTAGGACCGCCCCCCCTCCCTCGCCTTCCGCGAATCATTAAATGTGGCCTCATCTCTTCTCAGCAGCTTTTGGGGGATCAGCTGGAATTAGCCGAGTGAGAAGGCTTTGTAAAATGCCAGCACGATTCCAGCATGGTTTTCCAGTTTCCCCTACCTACTCATCACGCCTGGTACTTTAATAGGTGCTCAATAAATGTTTGTGGTCAAACAAATAATAATGTGACGGAAAGTTACTGAGTACTGACCAAGGGTCAGGCCATAGACCTGGTACCACCAAGGAGTCAGACACATTCCCTCCCTCTGAGAACTTACAGAGACAGAGGGTGTAAGCTTCCTTCCGACGACTCAGTCATCGGAGTAAATACCACTCAGTGCTGGGCAGAGTGGGATGTTGGCCTTGTGGGGCTGACAGATGGCTCTGGAGAGTTCCAGTCACATCCAAGTCCAGCCACCCAGCCAGGGCTCTGGACTGAGGCTGGCCGTGAGGGAAGGCTGAAGCATCCTAGGAGTCCTTTAGCTGGCTGGCGGGGCCTGTCCTCCTGTCTCCCTCCTCCCCTCCCCCTCCCCAGTCCTGAGCCAGAAGGGCAGACTATTTTTAGTCAGGCATGGGCAACAGCAGCTGCCCTCCGCGTCTAGTTACTCCTTGAAGAGAAGCGGGGAGGGCTCTGGGTGGAGAAGCACAACCTCAAATCCCAGCCCCTCTCAGGGAGGCTGACATCTCTCTAATCCTGCTGTATCATCTTTGGGTCCTTGCTCCTGAGCAGGCCTCCTGTCTTCCAGAGGGGGGCTTTAGCAAGGCTTCCAGCCCATTCCTCTACCACCACTCACTGCCTTGCTGGATTACCCCCTCTCCACCATGAGCGAGACAAGCTGAGGCCCCTCACAATCCTCTGATCCACATTGCTAGAAGCCTCAGAAGATCTCAGGGAACCAGGATGCCTGGAGGATGGACCCCTGGAACGTCCTCACTAGCCCTCCCCTTCTAAGACAAGTCCAAGGCCGTCTTCCAGCCTTCCTCCCAGACACCGGGGTTCCAGGAGCCTTCTGATTCCATCTTCACACATCCAAGTGACTGCCCCACCAAGCACCCAGATCTGAAAGATGCCCAGAAGAGCTCCAGTGAAGGCAGAAAGGAAGTCCCTTCTGGTCCTTACCATTTTGCGTGCCAACCTGGACGCCACCACTGCAGGTCACCTCCGTACGCCACCACTCAAAGATGCCCTGGCCCTCTCTAGCCCCTCAGATTTGTAGGGGCATCCTCTTCTCTCACCTCCCTGCTCCCCAGGACTGATGCCCTGGCCAATCAGATCCTGGGGTCAGCGAGCCACCCCCTCCCAGAGTCCTAGCCCATTACCTAATTTAGCCAAGGGCCCTTGCAGAGAAATTTAAGCCTCCGAGCAGGTGGCAGGCCTTGACGTCCTAGATTCTTGTGAGGAGAACCCGCCCTGCTCTGCCGCTCCTAGTGAGCCCCCCACCCTACCCCCAAGAAGCACACTGGCTCCAAGATGGGTGAGGAAGATCAGGGTAGAGGGAAGTGAGGCGGCATAGTAGCATGGAAGAGCACAGGCCTTGACGTTCAAAACCCAAGATCCAAGTCCTGTCCCTACAAGCTGTGCATACGTGAGCAGGTGGCAATGCCACTCTGAGCTTCAGTGTCCTTGTGTGTGAGATAGGGACAGTCATAACCTCCCTCCCAGAGAAACCGTGGTAAACAGGAGCCTGGGTTTAAGTCACTGGGCTTGTGCCAACTACTTAAAGTCAGTGCTTTGCAAGTGGAGTGTTTTGTCTTTGAATCAGAGACCAGAGGGGGACGGGACAGGAGGAGGGGAAATTGACAGCCTCTGTGACGTGCTGCACATGTGCTAAGCATTTTAATCATCTGATCTCACCCAATACTCATCCTGTGAGGTAGCAACTATGGTTATTCCCCTTTTTACCGGGGAGCTTTGTAAATCATAAAGCTCTATAGTCACGTTGGGGATTCTTATTCATCCTAACTGAGGGGAAGTTGGGGCAGACGGTCCTCCAGGGACCTGTCTGGAAGGAAAAATGAGTAGAGGGGCCCAGGAAATGGGGTATGCACTTGGAAGAGAAAGAAACATTGAAAGTAGATTCTTAGTCAAGCTTACCTTGTCCAGGAAAGGAGGTTTGGGGACTCACTTTTTTAAGGGGGAAGGGGAACCAGGGGAGGTTTCCCTAAGTAAATGCAGGTATAGCTGGCCCTTTGCTGGAGCTCAGGGAAGAAGTCTGGAGGAGCTCAGCTGGCCTTCTGGAGAGTGAAGGGGTGGGTGGATCAAGTCAAATACGAAGGGAGACCACCCTGAGAATCCACGGGTCCACCAGGGTGTTGGGATGGACAACATTCATGGACTCTCATCAAGTAACAGAAAGAGCACAATGATGACTAAACACAGGGTCTGGGGCCAGGGAAAGGGGGCTGGACACCAAGGAAGGTAGATGGACAGTGGCAGCTGGGCTGTCTTCTTGCCCTACATAGATATTCCCAAGGAAAGCTCAGTGGAGCCAGGCCAGGCTAAATAAGGCCTCCCCCAGCCAGGCCCAGGGCCAAGGGGCGATGCTTGTGTCCAAATGTGCCTAAAGAACTCCCAGGAGTCCTTTGTTCATTAGTTTGTTCTTTAATTTATTCAGGGAAATAGATGAGGTCCAAACTCAGTGTGGCCAAGCAAGGTCCCACTGACCCTTCCATCCTCATTCCCCACCTTGCATGTGGTTCTGCTCTGGTTCAAGCTAAAATGCAGCTCCAAACACCACCCTTTATAGCCCTCCAAGCCCTTGCACATGTAGGTTTGTTGGTTTTTTTTTTTTTAATATTTACTTATTTGACTGTGCCGGGTCTTAGTTGAGGCATGTGGTATGTTCGATCTTCATTGAGGCATGCAGGATCTTTAATTGTGGCCTGTGAACTCTTGGTTGCAGCATGTGGGATCCAGTTCCCTGATCAGGGATTGAACTTGGGGCCCCCACACTGGGAGCGCAGAGTCTTAGCCCCTGGACCAGGAGTGAAGTCCCTCGTTTTCTTCGTCTTAAAAATGGACCATTCTTGTCCACTAACAGCCTGTTCCCCAGGAGGTTGTAAGGGTTAGATATGACCCCTTTTCAAGTGCCTAGAACCGGGTGGAGGATACCGTGGAACGTCAGGAAATGAGAGCCCTGCCTCTTCTGCACCAAGGGATGGCAGGGAGTGTGTGTTCCATTCAAAGCCACCCCCCCACCCTGCTCTCCTGCACCATTTAAAAAGGGCAGGAGTGGACTTCCCTGGTGACGTGGAGGATAAGAATCTGCCTGCCAATGCAGGGAATGTGGGTTCAATCCCTGGTCTGGGAAGATTCCACATGCTGCAGAGCAAACAAGCCCATGCTCCACAACTACTGAGCCCTCGCTCCAGAGCCCGCGAGCTGCAGCTTCCAAGCCCAAGTGCTGCAGCTACTGAAGCCCAGGTGCCTGGAGCCTGTGCTCTGCAACAAGAGAAGCCACTGCAATGAAACGAAGAGTCGCCCCTACTCGCCACAACTAGAGAAGGCCAGGCGCAGCCAAAAGTTAAATAAAAAAAAAAAAAAATTTTTTTTTCCATAAATTAAAAAAAAAAATTTAAAGGAGGAGCTACCATCAGAGATTTTATTTGATCATATGATATAACTAGCAGTATCTGCCCTGCTAGGGACTGATAGCTAGGCCTTCTGACAGGAAGGGACAATAAATTCTTGACCTACAGCTGCCTTCTGGATAGAAGATAAAAACACAGCTCGTTAGAGGAATTGCTGAGATTGCAACTGACATCGTGAGATAAAAAACAGGATGTGGAACTCAGGAGACCTGGGCTGCAAGGCCCCACTCTCAGAAACCTCTGGCAAGCTGTGTGACTTCAGGCAAGTAACTCAGTCTCTCTGGGTCTGTTTCCTCATTTGTCTATGTGCTATGTGTGAGGCAAGCTCAAATGAGATTGTAAGAGAGTGTGAACACTGGAGAAACAATAATCATTGTGTAACTGATGATCCTCTTAGCCCCTGCTCTGAGCTAAGCCCTGGACTAGGGTCCTTTCCGAGAGCTGCAAAATTCGTGCTTCAGCTCTTATTCTTGTTTTACGTATGGGAAAACCTAGGCCACTCGAGTTTAGATTCCATCTCAGATCACATGGCTTCTCCTGGCCTCGGCTTCCTCCCAGGAGAGATGGGTTTCTGACTGCCGCGCAGTGACTTTGGAAAGTTAGAGTGCTGGGTGGAAATGAGAGGACAGTCTGCGGCCAGCAGACTGGGTCTCCGGGAGGGGTGGGCGGACTCAAGGAGGGCGTAGGCCCCTCCGGATTGGGGACGATCCCGGAGGAGGCCTGGCTTACCCAGGATTCCCACAGCCCTCCTGGAGCAAAGGGCCCGGGATTCCCGGGCGGCTCCGGGAGCGGGCGGGGCGGGAGGCGGGCCAGCGGCAGGAAGGGGCCGGAGCGGCGCTTGGAGCGGACTGGGCCGGGTCCGTGGAACCCGGTCGGCCTCGGCCAGCCTCCAGGAGCTGCACCCGGGAGCGGGGCGCCCGGGAGTGCGCCGCGGGGGGGCAGGAGGCAGAGCCGCGGGGACAGCCCCCGGTCCCCGCAAAGGGCAGGGGCGGGACCTCCCCGGCGCCCCGCCCTCCCCGGCCCCAGGCCCCGCCCCCTCCCGGCGCGGGGCCGGGGTCCGCCTCCCGCCCCGGCCCGCGACGCGGCGTCGCGCGCTCCCCCCGGGGTGCCATGGCCTCGCGGCTCCTGCACCGGCTGCGGCACGCCCTGACCGGCGACGGCCCCGGGGAGGCGGCGGCCGGCCCCGAGGCTGAGCAGTTCCCGGAGAGCTCGGAACTGGAGGACGACGATGCCGAGGGCCTGTCGTCCCGCCTCAGCGGCACCCTGAGCTTCACCAGCGCCGAGGACGACGACGAGGAGGACGGCGAGGACGACGACGACGGTGACCCCGACCCGCTGTCCGCTGGCGACCGGGTGGCGGGAGAAGACGCAGGCGAGTGCGGGAGGATGGAGGCGGGAACCCTGGGCTCGGTTAGGCCTCCACCCCAGCCGCGTTCCCGAGTTGATCCAGCCGAAACTCAAGACACTTCTTTTAAGTGCGTCCAGCTGCCTCTTGGCTGTGTGACCTTGAGAGAGTCACAACACCTCTCTGGGCCAAGTTCCCTTGTGTCAAATCACTCCCATCTCAGGGTTGTTTAGGGCATGAAATGTACAGTCTGGGATACAAACGGTAGTACTGTGCTAGGGATGTTTTGGGTGTGGAAATGTTTATTTAACGCCTCCTGTCTGCCCGGCAGGTGTTTGGCTCCGGGTCCCTCTCTGGCCCTGCGTTTCCATTTATGTCAGTTAGGGATAAAGCCTTTGTCATTCATTGGGAGGAGTATGAATGAGGTCAGGGCACCTAATTTACATCATATGTGGCCCCAGGCCCATCCTGTGCTCAAGCAGAAAGGAGTCCCCCACCTGATGGGCAGCGGGGCAGTCAGCTCCTGACCCGGCAGTTGCAAGATTTCTGGAAGAAGTCCAGGAACACCCTGGTACCCCAGCGGCTGCTCTTTGAGGTGACCAACGCCACCGTGGTTAAGGACCCGCCCTCCAAGTACGTGGTGAGTGAGGGTCCAGGACCCTGAGCTATGAATCTTAGAAGACCCTCGCTTAGAGAAAGTAGGGGAAACTTCAGCATCCTGGGTGATCTGGCTGTGTAGTTATAAATGGCTGCCCCATTTGACAAATGGGGAAACTGAGGCCAGAAAAGGGCTGTAACTTGAACAGATCCTCAGGCAAATGAACCTATCCTATCCCGGTTTTGAGACTAAGGACTACTGTGCATGTCCTCTGCCCCCCGGACTTTTGCAAACTGTCAGAAGATGCAAGATACATGGGGAAGAATATCATCTGAGTCAGACTTGAGACCAAGTTGGCATTGGTTGGAAAAATGGGTTTGGGATCCAAATCTTGATTCAGATCCCAGTTATTACCAGTTGTTTGACTTCAGGTGAGTTGTGAAACCTTGACTAACCCGTTTTCTCACCTGAACAATGGGAATAATGCAGGAGTTAAATGAGACAGTACACAGAAAGCCCTTAGCATTGTGCCTGGCATCTTGAAGTGCTCGATAAATGATAGTTCTGTTATTACTATTTTACTTTGGGTTGAAAATGTCAGGCATCTAGGGCCTGTTGTGGCCTCTCTGCAACCACGAAGAGTCAGTTCTCCAGCACCCACGCCTGTACAGAATAACCTTGTCTGAAGGACTGGATTTAGGGGATTGGTATGTGTGTGTATGTTCAGTCGTGTCCGACTCTTTGCAGCCCCATGGACCATAGCCCATCAGGCTCCTCTGTCCATAGGATTTTCCAGGCAAGGATACTGGAGTGGGTTGCCATTTCCTTCACCAGGGGATTGGTGGATTGGGGTAAAGATTAATCAGTGGGGGGGGGGGGGGGGGGTGCAGGCTGATTTCCTGACTGTGGAAAGGAGAAACACATGGAGGATGCTGTTGGCCTGGTCCTGAAACCCAGCCTAACCTGGCTGGTCCTGGCGGCAGCAGCTCCCTGCCTCTCACTTCCCTCCTCTTCCCCACCCTCCTCCATTTCTGACTCAGCAGGAAGGGGGCCTGGAGCCCTGTCCCACATCTGGACTTCTCCACCCCTCTCTGAGGCTCTCAGTGAAAAACGGGCCACGCCCATGGGGCAGCTGCTCCTGTTTCAGTGGGGATTGACTGATGATGGAGTCTTGAGTCGCAGAAGTCCTGGCTGGGGGTCATGCGCAGGAAGGGGGCGCAAGGAGCAGCTGAGAGGGAAGTTGGGAACAGCTCTGGGAAGAGAATGACAAGATAGAGCTAAGCCTGGCCTGGGAGAATCCCACAGGAATCAGGAGCCTCTTGGGCTACAGTCCATGGGGTCACAGAGTCAGACACGACTGAGTGACTAGGCAACAAATCCTGCTTCAACATCTCCTGGAGGTTAAGAGTACAGGCTTTGGAATTGGGTCGGCCTGGGTTTGAGTCCCAGCTGGGTCATTTACCAGCTGTGTTACTTGGAGGAGGTCTTTCAGCCCTTGGCCTTCTCTGGGAGCCTGCTTCCTGTGCTAACAGAGGTACAGACACTTTCCTCGCAGTGAGGTTGTGATGGTGAAATAGTGGCTGTGAAGAACTCAGCAGGGTAGTGCTCAGTTAATGATCCTCATTATTACCTGTCAATAGGACAACAGAAGGATCAGATAATGGATCCAAAATGGGTTTTTGTCCAAAAACGACAAATGAAAATAAAAGCTAGATGAGCATAAGGGGTCACTATAGATGAGGGCTTCCTGAAATGTGTTCTGCAGAAAATTGGTTCCCTGGAATATTAATAACTGTCCCTTTAAAGAAAAAACAAAAGCTTTACAGTCAATATGTAATGTTTTGGGAATGCAGTTGAACTAGAGTAAAATAAGTTTCTTTATTGTTAAACTTTCTAATCCTGAATACTAATGTAGACTGAATCTTTCAGAGTGAGCAGGCAAACCTGACTGAGCAGGGGTGGCTAAGATTTTGGCAATTTCACAGAACAAATTTGAGAGTAAACTGTGGGTTTGGTGTTAGTACACTTTTAACATCTGTGTGTGTGTGTGTGTGTGCGTGCTCAGTTGCAACTGATTCTTTTTAACATCCAATGCTTGCTAATCCCCTTTTTAGACCTGTTAGCTCAGGATTGTTATAGATTAAGCCATATTTGGGTTCTCAGACCGGGTGGGAAGCTTAATGGTCATCTTGTTCAGCGTTTCGCAAACCTCCATCACCCTCACAATTTTTGTCCTATCTAAATGCTACTTTGACCATTTGATGCTTATCATTTTTCTTCAAATAAACTATTTTTTTAAAATAACTTTAAAAGACAACTTTACAACACAACTGTATATGGGAAGCCTGAATCACTCACCATAAAGAGAAGATAACTGTAAAAATGAAAGCAGTGAAAGTGTCATTAAAGTCTGGCTGGATGCTGCTGCCTGGAGGTGGCACTGACAGATTCTTTCTGGCTCTTTTCTAAAAATGGAGCTGAGAAGGGCTTTTATGAACCAAACTGAGAGCTTCTCAATTTGTAGTCAGAAAGATTCAGAGAGAATGAGAGGGGGTATCACCTTCTGCCTCTATTCAAGTGTTATCCACTCCAGTACTTAACACCTAAACATCCCGGGGACCGACGTTTATGCCCGGCCCACACCTGAGTAAACAGTGAGCTGGGCCAGCGCTCCATTCACTAGAGTGGAAGTGGACCCAAGAAGGGGACCACCCAGCCTGATTCCCATAGTGAGGGAGCATCTGACCCAAGAGTAGAACCTGGCTCCCAGTCCACTGTGCTTTTCACACTGGTCCCTACTGGGGCTGTCTGAAGACCTGTGTTGAGGGTCTGGATTGGAATAACCCGGCCATGTGGAGCCATGTGTCCAGAATGGAACAAAGCTACAAGCTGGTCCCAAAGGTTGGCCTGGATTTCAACACACCGCTAGTTTTCCAGAGGGGCTGTCAGAAGAGCTCGCTTTCCAATGGGAGGGGCTTCCCAGGTGGCACTAGTAGTAAAGAGCCCTCCCGCCCAGGTAGGAGACATAAGAGACCTGGGTTCAATCCCTGGGTGGGTAAGATCCCTTGGAGGAGGGCATGGCAATCCACTCCAGTATTCTTGCCTGGAGAATCCCATGGACAGTGGAGCCTGGTGGGCTACAGTCCATAGGGTCACAGAGAGTCCGACAGGACTGAAGCAACTTAGCACACACTCCCTGAAAGGGGGTGAGGGGGGGCAGCCGTCCAGACACTGAAGCTCATCTCTGTCTTTTTCTCTCTGTGCTGCCTTGGGCCTGGGTCATTTCAGACGAGCCTCAGGTAAGATGAGACTGGGCTCCCCGGCTGCAGCCCCGGCAGCTCCCACCCTCCGGGCTGGCTGATCTCCAGGGTGAAGGGAAGGGGTGGGGGAAGAGAGTTGAAAGTGGGGGTGGGGGGTAGGAAGAGAAGGGGCCCGGGGACACCGTGCCTCTGCCCTGACCCCTGCCCTCCCTGCAGCTCTACACCCTCGCCGTGATGGGCCCGGGGCCACCGGATAGCCCGCCGGCCCAGATCTCCCGCCGCTACTCGGACTTTGAGCGGTTGCACCGAAACCTGCAGCGGCAGTTCCGCGGCCCCATGGCTGGTATCTCCTTCCCCCGCAAGCGCCTGCGCCGGAACTTTACAGCCGAGACCATCGCCCGCCGCAGCCGGGCCTTCGAGCAGTTTCTGGGCCACCTCCAGGCTGTGCCCGAGCTGCGGCAGGCCGCGGACCTGCAGGACTTCTTCGTGCTGCCCGAGCTGCGGCGGGCACAGAGCCTCACCTGCACCGGCCTCTACCGCGAGGCCCTGGCGCTCTGGGCCAACGCCTGGCAGCTACAGGCCCAGCTGGGCATCCCCTGTGGTCCAGACCGACGTCTGCTGACCTTGGCAGGGCTGGCCGTGTGCCACCAGGAGCTGGAGGACGCTGGGGAGGCCCGGGCATGCTGTGAGAAGGCCCTGCAGCTGCTGGGGGCCAAGAACCCGCACCCTCTGCTGGCCCCCTTTCTGGAGGCCCACGTGCGGCTCTCCTGGCGCCTGGGCCTGGACAAACGCCACTCTGAGGCCCGGCTCCAGGCCCTGCAGGAGGCAGGCCTGACCCCCACACCACCCCCCAGTCTTAAAGAGTTACTCATCAAGGAGGTGCTGGACTAGCGTCACCTAGACTTAAGGCCACTGTGGGAGAGGCGCTGCCCCTGGATGGGGGGTGCGTTGGGGGGTGGATGAGAACACGGACAGCTGCTGAGAGGCTCCCTGGGGTGCTGGGAACCCCAAGAAGGTCCACAGAGAATTTGCAGCAGACCAAGGAAACGCACTGCTTCTGTTGAGCTGCGCTCAGGACAAGCTGGGATGGTGCAGAAAGAAAGTCTGACGCTGCCTCTCCAGCTTATGAATACCTGGGGGCCGTGACCCAGGTCAGGGTCGATGGACTGTCTTCCCGTAGGCCAGCCTGGCTGAAAGGCTAGGGATTCTGGCCCTGGAGTCCTGGGGTTGATGGCTGGAGGGAGGGCTGCGATCCTGGCCCAGGGGGATTAAAGGGCAGCAGCTCCAGTGGTTCGAGTCTCTTTATTTGGATGTCCCGGACAGAAGGCCCAGCCCTGGATGGTAATCCTGTCTCAGGAGTAGGGGGAGAACAGAGACCCTTGAAGCCCCAGGCCCAGCTGGCACCTCTGGCTACAGATTGCTCTTTGGGTCCTGGGGCTTAACTCGGATCACGCCCTCCTGGGCACAGGACACAGCCAGGACCCCATCCTGACGCCACAGCCGCCCGTGAACCAGGCCCCGGGAGCCACCTGCAGATGAAGAGAAGAGTCTCAATGGCCTTCTGTCTCCTGCTGCCCAGCCAAATGCGCTCCTTTGCAAGAGGTGCAACTCGGGTTGGGCCACCCCATGCCAGAGCCACGCTTGATGGTGTGGTCACTCCCAATCTCCAAGCACCCCTTTTGAAGCCTATTATGGTTGCTCAAGGGTGTAACTCCTCCCAAGGGAGCCCCACCTGATTGTTTAAAAGCACTTTCATGTATCTGCTGACTTCCTCAAGAAAAAAAATCCCAAGGGGAGAAGTTCTGCGAACAGTCTGGTTCAGTAGTTCAGCTAGGCGGATCTGTCCAACCTCTGGCCACTTGTGTAAGGAAACCCATCAGTTCCCTTTCTAATAAACCCGGTCCTCCCGGCCAGTCATTCATATTTAAAAAAAAAAAAAATCTTCCACAATCACGGGGACAATGGGGCTCAGGGGAGAGGATATGAAGCCATGAGGAGCCTAGGCAATCCCCTCCACATGTGGAGATTCTCCCTTGCTACCTAGGGCCAAAGTCTGATGTTTAGGAAGGGAACTGCTGGTTTCTTTTAAACACAGTACAGCCCACTTAGTTCTCACGGTAGCCAAGTAAAGCAGGCCTTGTCCTTTGTTCCAGATGATGACACTCAAGCCCAGAGAGGCTTGGGAACTTGGCCTTAAGGATCAGGTCAAAGCTGAACCCAAGAGACCTACCATCAAGGTGTCTGTTCTGTGCTGTGATGCTGTTGATTCTTGAGAGTCCCTCTTCCCTGAGTATAAAGAGTCCCTTAAGTTTTGTCCCTGTTTTACAAAACAAGGCTTCTCTTCATTTGAAATGCACTTCCTTGGAAAGGAACCCAGGGCTCTGAGACCAGGCACTGATGAACGAGTCTGGGTTTCTTGCTTCACAATAGAAGGAGGGTCCAAGCAGTGGGGCCCCTACACGGCCGGGGGCCCCAACCCCCAGCCAGGCTAACTATCAGAATCACTTAGGGAATCTTCGTAAAAATACTTTCCTGGACCTTATCCAAGCCTTGCAGTCAGAATCTTGGGGATCAAATCTGGGAATGTTTTGAAAAAGCTCTCCCGAGAGGTGGAAGAATAGGCCCCCAGCTCTGGATCCGTCTGCTCTGGTGCAACCCTATGTGTGTAGATGAGAAAACTGAGCCTCAGAGCGGAGGTGGGACTTGCCCAGCATCACACAGAGCATCTGAGGTGGTTCTGGGACGAGCACTGAGCCTCAGATAAAGTGACTCATGTCCCCCACATGTCACAAAAATGAAGAGCTGAGCAGGTGTCCTGCCCTCAGGCCGCACCCTGTCATTTTGAAGACAAGGATGATGCAGCCTGCGGAAGCAGGAGAGGAAGTGATCTGTGCAGCACTCCACAGAAAGAGGGTGGGGCAGCATCACCCAAGAAAGCAGGCTCCCTGCCCTCCCCACCAAAGGCGCCAAGGTCAGCACCCTCGTTCCGCTTGACCCCAATACTCACCGGCCCAGGGGCTCTCACACTCATAGAGCATCCAGTGGTCAGCTCGGAAAGGGGCATGGAACCACATGGTGTGGTCCAGGGAGACCATGAAGTCGACCTTGTACTGCCAGTGGTGGGGCAGCACTGCTGTGCCCAGGAAGGCATAGTCTGAGATATAGGCCGCCACGCAGCAGTGCATCTTCATGTCGCCCTCGCCTGCAACAGGTTCCGGTCCCATCAGCCCTGGACTCCTGGGCTTTACAGCTCAGGATCTGCAGGGAGGTAGGGAGAAAGGGGCTGCCATGCACAGATGTGCATACTCTTCACAAGGGCACCTGGCCCAAGGGTGTGTGTATGTGATGGAGGCCAAGGGAGACAGAGACTGGAGGAGGGCAGGGGTGGGTGAGGACTGAAATCCTCCCCCCATCTCCCACCCTGAACCTTGAAAGTATCTTCTTCCAGCTTTGCACAAAGGCACCTTATGCTTAGCAGGGGACCTGGAGAAGAATTTCAGCCAGGTGCCTTGCCTTCCCCAGGAAGGGCCCACTTGAGGATTTCCGTCACCTCCCCATTCTCCCCCTGCAAAAGGCTGAGCTCACTTCTCCATCACTCAGATAAGGAAACAGGCCCACAGTGTGGGAGGACCATGGCCAAGGCCACCCAGGGCAGAGGAGGTGCAGGTCTAGACCCCTGAAGAGAGTTTCCTTTCAGGCCATGGGGTCCCGCTTACCAATATAGCCCTGGGCTCGCACCCAGAACATCTGTCTGGGTTCCATTTTCTTCAGCTGGCCTAGAGTGGGTGGGTTTACCACCTTGATCTCAACGGGCACCTCCTGGGCAGCAATTTGGTTCAGCCCCACTCTGTACTTCTCCTGGAGCCTCGGGTCCCTGAAAGTAAAAGGGAGAGGGGTGCGGAGAACCCGGAAGATAGGGAGCCTGTCTGAGCTGCCTCTTCTGACCCCACTCATTCCTCCACAGGAACTCCTGACATCCCCAGACCTCCCCTCCTCTCCAGCAGGCAGGATAGGACAGTATCTGCATCCCTTCTTTGCCACTGAGGAGCCCCATGGCCTGCTGCAAGTTAGTCATCATCAGCCTTTTTTTCCTATCTGCAAAATGTGGATGATGACAGTCACCTACCTCATAGTTAACACTGGGGAGGAGACAAGATAATGCATGAAAAGCCAACATATCATCGAGCCATGGGGCTACCCTGTAATGGGCCCAGCTCCAGGCAATTCACACCATGAACTAAGATGCTATCATCCCTGCCCTCTGAGAAGTGGAGTAAACACAGAGGGTGCAGATAGCCAGCTCAGGAAGTTCATGGGGGCGGGAGTTAGACCCAGGCAGTTCTGGCTCCTCCTCGGTTCCCGTTCTTAACCGCTTCTCTATTCTAACCCTCAGGAAACAGGCTGCCCTACTTGGACTGACTTACCTAACCTGAGCCACTGGGGACATTGTCTTCGGAGCAAGGAGCCCAATTCCAGGGAAGCCCCTTTGCCGCAGGGACCACCACCCCTCGTGCCCCTAGCGCTCTTCCCCAGTATTTCATTTCCTCCCCTTTCCCCTTGAGTCCTGTCTGATGGTACCTTCTGTGATGATGGAACATTCTAGTCCACTGTGGTGGCCACTAGCCACATGGGGCTGCTGAGGGCTTGACATGTGGCCAGTGTGACCAAGGTACAGATCTGAATTAATTCTGTTTAATGTTAATAAACTCAACACACCCCCTGTGGTTAGTGGTTTCCTTATGGGAGACATGGTTCTAGATTCAGGGACCTTTAAGAACAATGTCCTCCTTTCATTCTCAAAGTTTTTTATTTAATTTATTTTTGTCCGCGGCATGTGGGATCTTAATTCCCCTAACAGGGACTGAACCCAAGTCCCCTGTCGTGAAAGTTAACCACTGAGCCTCCAGGGAGAAAAGAAGAGAAAGTGAAAGTCGCTCAGTCATGTCCAACTCTTTGCGACCCCATGGACTACACAGTCCATGGAATTCTCCAGGCCAGAATACTGGAGTGGGTAGCCGTTCCCTTCTCCAGGGGATCTTCCTGACTCAGGGATTGAACCCAGGTCTCCTCCTCAAATATTTTGGAGCTCTGACCACACACCAGGCTCCATGTTTATTCCTCTCTGTCAAGAGTGGCGTAACTACAATTTACTGAGCACTCACTGAGCGCCGTGTTATCTCTTATCTCTGTCATCCTCACAGCAGCCTTACGAGGGATTTTATAGGGATTTCAATGGATTTTATAACTGATCACAAGCTCAGAGTGGGAAAGCAACTTGCCAGACTGACACAGCGGGCAGTGACAGAGTCTAGATCTGAGCCCAGGGCTTTCCCAGGTTTGGAAGCACACCTGCTCCGTCACACTGGGCTGACTCCCCTGCACGGAGCACCAGGCAGTGGAGCTCTCCTTACTACTCAGCTGTGAAGCAGGCGGGGCAGAAACAATGACCCCCATTTTTCTTTTCTTTTTTTTTTTATGAATTAGAGGAGAGGGAGGAGGGAGATAGAGATGAGCAAGAGGAGAAAAAGGGGGACTCAAGAGGAGATAGATCTACGCAGTTATCTGTTCCCAAAGTGTTCTCCGTAGCCCAGACACCCACAGAGATTCACAGGATTGGATTGGGAAGAGAAGGGGGAGGGAGGAAATAGAGGTGATCTGAGGGAGAAAACAGAGAGTCAAAAGTGGGAGACAGTAATCAACACACTCCTGAGTAAAAATGGGTACTGAATATTGGATTCTTAAATGTCCAATATTGATATCAAATAGTGAAAAGCAAAGATTAAAAATCTAAAGTGGAGGTTAGACTCTTCAAAATACAACATTAAAAATAAAAACACAAAAAATTTTAGAAATATATATGAAGTTCGGTTTAAAAATAGGGCCTCTTTTTTTCTTTTTGCAAGGTTATAGTGAAATGAAAATGAAAATTAAGGAGTAATAGAGGACTTTAAAAGAAAATAAGAGAAGAAAATTTTTTTTCTAATTAAAAAAATAGTAAAAATATGTGAAAATGAAAATGAAAGTTAAGGAGTAATGGAGGAGTAATAGGGAATTTTAAAAGAAAATAAAAGAGAAAAAAAATTTTTTAAAGAAATTTTTTTTTCTTTTTAATTAAAAAAAAAAATAAAAATATATCTAGGAATTTCTCTGGAGCTGTTGCAGTCAGTGTGGGTTTGGTTCCAATGACCCCCATTTTTCATATGAAGAAGCAGGCTCTGAGAGGCTGGAGACTTGGGCAAAGCTACACAGCAGGTGGACACCAAGAGAGGTGGAGCCTTGGCAGGAACCTGTAACCGAGCAGGAACCTGTGGGCACCTCTGTCAAGTTTATGATTAACCTCCATATCTGGACCTTTATTCCTTTTCTTGTTCAGAACGTGTTCTCCTCAAGACTGAAGAGTGTCGAAAGAAAGGTGGGGACTGTAATTGAGCAGGACCCTGTGCGGCCTTCCGGGGACAGGTCTTCCTCCACTTCCTTGGCTTTCACTCCTCTCTGGGGTACCCAGGTACCCAGCATTTGATTCACATTTCCTGAGTTGTTTTTACAGCTGTGAAAACTCCTCACGAAATGGAAGATGTTAACTACTAAAGATTGTGAGCACACAGCCCCAGGAACCTAGGGACTGATGAGGTTCACCCCTGAGACACTGCCCTGTTACATCACCATCAGCCAATCAAAGAACTGTGCATGAGCTGATCACGCCCTGCAGCCTGCCCCCATCACAACAGTCTAGCTTTTTTCTTCTTTTAATATATATCTATTTATTTTTATTTGGCTGTGCTGTGTCTTAGTTGTGACAGGGGGGTTCTTCCATCTTCTTTGCGGTACTCGGGATCTTTTTGTTGTGGTATGGGGGATCTAGTCCCCCAGGTGGGGATTGAACCAGGCTCCCTGCGCTGGCAGCACGAAGTCTTAGCCACTGAACCACCAGGGAAGCCCCGAGCTTTTTTTTTAATTGGAGGATAACTGCTCTTCAGTCATTTTAGTTTCTGCTGTACAACAACATGTATCTGATAGGGACAGAGTTAAGGGGCAAAACAGGTGATTCCATAGTGAATCCCACTAGGGGATTGTGGGCTTCCCTGGTAGCTCATCTGGTAAAGCATCCACCTGCAATGCAGGAGACCCTGGTTCGATTCCTGGGTTGGGAAGATCCCCTGGAGAAGGGATAGGCTACCCACTCCAGTATTCATGGGCTTCCCCGGTGGCTTAGCTGGTAAAGAATCCACCTGCAATGCAGAAGACTAGGGATTGATACCTGAGTTGGGAAGATCCCCTGTAGGAGGGCATGGCAACCCACTCCAGTATTCTTGCCTGGAGAATTCCCATGGACAGAAGAGCCTGGTGGGCTACAGTCCATGAGGCTGCAAAGAGTCAGATATGACTGAGCCCCTGCAACTAAGCACTAAGGGATTGTTAAGTAGAATAAGTATGGGAAACCCTGATAAGTTAACGATTACTCAAGAAAGCAGGTTTGCTTAGCAACAAAGCCATGCAACAGAAGCATGAGACCTGCCCCCCAAACAATGAGACCCATATCCTGCCCAGTGAGCTCAGTGAGTTAATGATCCCTGGGACATATTCTGTGTACACGTGAAAAACAGTCATTTGTGGATCTAGCTTGACCACGCAGGGACAAGAAAACTTCCCTGCTCAAGCTGAAGGAGGAGCTGATGTTGGAAGCATGACACCTACTCAAGAAAGACAAAGACGTTCTTCTCTTCCTTCCCACTTTTCCTTCGATTATAAAACTGTAGCCCAGTAAGTTCTCAGGGTGCGGCATCTCTCCCGCCCACTTATAAGCCTCACAAGTGTCCTCTTCTAATATATCACTTATCAATCACTTTGCCTCTTGCTGAATTATTTTCTGTGCTGAGCCATAAAGGACTATGGTACCGAAGCTCCTCAGAGCCCCTGAAATGACACCAAACGGTTTCAAATCAGCTGTAAGTATACCTATATTCCCTCCCTTCCACTCCCCCCAAGTCCCAGTCTTGCTTTTTAAAATGCTAGTTGGGATCCACTGAAGGACCCTGTGACCCGCCAATGGGTGGCAACTGCAGTTTGAACACTGTCCTGGAGCCTCTAGGTCTCTCACCTTAAATACTGGTCAATGAGGGCCTCGTGGCTAAGCAGCTCCTCCGGCGGGGACACAGCAGGCATGGAGAACTGGTGCTGCATGGGGCTGGGCTGGGCCTTCTGGAAGGAAGCCTGGCAGATGAAGATGGGCCTGCCATGTTGCACGGCCTTCACGAAGCGCACAGAGAAGCTCCCCCCTGTCCGCGTCCGCTCCACCTGGTACAGCACCGGCACCTTCGGGTCCCCTGCAGCGGGCATGGTGCTCACAGTGAGCCCCAGCGAGCCCTGCAGGCCCGCTTACCTGATGGTTCTCCATTTCTTTTCTGCTCAATAGCTACTGACTGCGGCCCACTGGGTCCCAGCTACTGGGGATACAGAGAGGAACCCTAGACCCTGTCATCAGGATGCTCCTGGTGCAGGGAGAGCTCCTGTCCATCAACAGCACAGGACAGAAGGGATGCTGACAGATTCCATGCATTTGAAGCCTGGCTCCGCCACTCACCAGCTGCAGCTGTGTGACCTTGAGGAAATCACTTAACCTCTCTGAGCAGTTAACCCATCTGTGAAATAGGAACATCATAGTGTTCATACCTCTCAGGGTTTCTTTTTTTTTTTCCTCTCAGGGTTTCAATGAGGGTAAATTAGTTCAGAGTTGTAAGGTGTTCAGAATAATATCTGGCACACAGTAAGTTCTCTGTGTTTACATAAAATACTCTCAGCCTTTGTTTTGTTCCACCTGTGACTGGGATCTTGTCATGAGCACAGTACCATTCTTCTAGATCAGGGGTCAGCAAATCTGGCCTGCTGCCTGTTTTCTTTCTTTAAAATAATTTTATTTATTTATTTTTGGCTGCACTGGGTCTTCGTTGCTTTGTGAGGGCTTTCTCTAACTGCTGCGAGCAGGGGCTACTCTCTAGTTATGGTCCTCGGGCTTCTCACTGCGGTGACCTGTCTCGCTCCCGAGCACGGGATCTAGGCACTGGGCTTCATTGGTTGCAGCGTGTGGTCTCAGTTGCTCCTCGGAACGTGGGATCTTCCCAGAGCAGGAATTGAACCCATGCCCCCATGCAATGGCAGGTGGGTTATTATCCATTGCACCACCAGGGAAGTCCCTGCTGCCTGTTTTCTTTTTGTTTTTCTTTTCTACCTTCCGTTTTTTTTTTAGAACAGGCAAAGGTTATTTATTCAGAATTTAGTATATCAAGGGAATCAGCCACAGTTACTTCTGTTTGGCAGAGACTCAAAGGCAGACAGAGTGGGAAAGCTTTACAGTTGGGGGGAGAAAAAGGGCACATGTTTGGCTTTCCCTGGTTAGTCCTAAGTTGGAAACAGGGGTAAAAAGTAGGGAAGCTCTCGGTTATTCACCAACTCCTGGCCATTAGGGGCTGATCCTTACAGGGACTATGGTTTGGCTTCCTAGACTGACTGCTAGACATGGTGGTCTGACTTCCTCCAAGCCTGACTTGTAGATAGTAGGCTGGCTTCCTGCGCTAGTTGCTACCAGTTGTGGCTCAGAGTACTCTTTTTATATACGGTTTGGCCATTGTCTGATAGTCATTCTCCCAGGAAAGGCCTGCTGTTAAGTCAGTTCCTTCATTCTTAATGCATATGGAAGTCACCTGGTCCTTCTTCTATCCGCTCTCTCAGTGCAGGAGGGGAAACACTGGCCCCAGGGTAAGGACTACTAACCCTCAACAAACAGGCTGGGAAGGGTTTTTAGAGGGAGAGCGTCTTCCTGGTGTCCCTGAAGTCCTTTGGTCTGAGTCAGATGACCTTGGAGAACCCTAACTTCTAGGTGGAAAAATGCCTTGGGGATGATTTTCAACTTTGAGATGAAAGAAGCAGATCTAGAGAAGTGTTGTTTCCCCCACCTTGTCCAGGTGGGAAGCCCCTGCCAAGCACCAGGGCTCATTCAACAGCCATAAACATGCCTGTAACACCTTGAAGCCCAGCAGGTTTGCTCAGGTCTGCTAGCCGGCAATGCTAAAGGGTATTTTTATCAGAATGGGGGCTCCTCAAGGCCTTAGTGGAGTGAGAAATGGCAACCCACTCTGGTATTCTTGCCTAGAGAATCCCATGGACAGAGGAGCCTGGTGAGCTACAGTACATGGAGTCACAAAGAGTCAGACACATGAGCAACAGAGAATGCACACAAGGCCTAAGGCCTTTGAGAAGGGTTTCCCAAGAGTCCAGAAACTGTAGATAGCTACATGAGCAGTCTGATTTCAGAGGTTTGGAAAGAGGCCTCCCTTCCCTACCAAAAAAGGTTTTTCATCCAGTCCTTGGGCTGCAGCTAAAATGCAGTATTTTCTGCTACTAGTGATTTACCTTTCAGCATGAATGAGTTCTAGACCTGTTCTTTAAAATTTGTATTGGAACAGAGCAGGTAGGCTCTGCTGTATATTGAAGGAAGAGAGATAATGAGTTATGGAGTTGAGTGCATTTGTTACATTAACCTGAAACAGATAGCCAGATATTTCGCCAGAGAAGATATGTTTCTTCAGGATCAGCAGAGAATTGCAATTCAAGGTCTGCAACCATGGCGAGCCAGGTACAAGTCCCCGCCGAGCAAGGGAAGGAGACCGCTTTTATAGAGGGGGATAGGAGGGGCTACAGTACAGTGTAATTGGGAGGGTCCTAGTAAACAAGGAGCCTGTGGTTTTCCATTGGCTGATGCCTTGCCAGAAAGGAGTCTTTCTTCCTCTTTGGCTCCGTTGTCACAGGGCACGAGAGCACCCTCTTCTCTTCCAACTCTCCTGAATGGAGGTTTCCATTTGATTTTTTACAGTTAAACTATGGTATCTTCTCATGTTGGTTACATATTAACTATGCCAAGTGGGTCTTATCCCAAATGTATAGATGGGGAAATTGATGCCATAAATAACAGTTTTGGAGAATACAGCCAAGCCCATTTGTTTATGTATTTTGACTATTGTTTTGCCCATAAAATCGAAAATATTTATGATCTGATTTTATAGAACGTTTTTTGAATCCTGCTGTAGAATCTTCAAGCTCTAAACCTATACCAGGGCTTCCCTGGTGGCTCAGCTGGTAAAGGAATCCACCTGCAATGTGGAAGACCTGGGTTCCATCCCTGGGTTGGGAAGCTCTCCTGGAAAAGGGAAAGGCTACCCACTCCAGTATCCTGGCCTGGAGAATTCCATGGACTCTACCAAGCCAGATGACAACTATCTAGAGAAATACATTAAAAAATATATATATATACAAACAAAAACCCAAACTCACATTCTCTCCTAGGCTTCAAGAAAAAGAATTGATATGATAAATGGCCAAGAACCAGACCCCAACCTCACAGTATCTTTTAATTAAAAATATCACTGGAGGACTTCCCTGGTAGTCCAGTGGTTAAGACTCTGTCCTTCCAATGCAGAGAACAAGTGTTTGATCCCTGGTCAGGGAACTAAGGTCTAAGATCATTGGAGCAACGTCACTGTTTATAAATCTTGATGTACCTGGTAGAGGGGGCTTCCCTGGTGGCTTAGCAGTAAAGAATCCACCTGCAATCCAGGAGACTCCAGTTCATCCCTGTGTCGGGAAGATACCCTGGAGCAGGAAATGGCAACTTACTCCAGTATGCTTGCCTAGGAAATCCCACGGTCAGAGGAGCCTGGCTGGCTAAAGTCCATACGGTCACAAAGAGTTGGACATGACTTAGCGACTAAACAACACCCTGGTAGTGGGTCACGTCAGAAACTAAGAGCTTCCCTTTCTGCCTTGCTGCCAGGAAGCTTGGAGCTAACTTTTGTATAAAACTGTGATGATATGCCTTAGCCTAGTATTCTGACACAATCATTCCCCACCCAAATCCCAGTCTCCTGGCCCTTTAATTTATTACTTTTAAAACTTTTGCCCCAAATGTTTTATTTTATTTTATTTTTCAAATGTTTTATTTTTTTCCCCACACTTTATTTTCTTGCAGATTATATTCCATTACAGGTTATTAAAAGATACTGAATTCTCTATGTCTCACAGTAAATCCTTGTTGCAGATCTATTGTATGTATTATAGTTTGTATCTGTTAACCCCATACTCCTAATCTGCCTCAATTTTTATTTTATTTTTTAAATTAAAGAATTTATTTTTGGCCACATCACATGGTTTGCAGGATCTTAGTTTCCTGACCAGGGATCAAACCTAGGCCCTCCACAGTGAAACCATGGAGTCTTAACCACTGGGCCGTTAGGGAATTCTGACTTTTAACAGCCAATTATTTTAAGCTGTCTTCTTTCAAGAAGTAGAAAGGGGATACAAATAACTGGTGATTATTAGGATATAGCAGTGTTGGCACCATTCATTTCATGCTGCTCCTGGATGGAGAATTTCCAAGGAAGTGGATGCCTCCCCAGAACCTGAGATGGGCTCAACCATGGTTTGGAATTATTTCCCAAGAGTGAAAGAGCACAGAAGGAGAACAAAGCACAGAGCTTGGAGTCACCCAGCCTCAGGTTCAAATCCTGGCCTTGCCTCTCTGAGCATTATGGAAGCTGCTTACATAACCTCTTTGGGTCCAAGGTTCCTTACACATAGAATAAACACCCCTCAGGTTTACTGAAGAGGATCAAACAAGATAATGTAAATAGTTGTGCACGGTAACATGCAAACTGTAACCACTCCCATAAATTCATCATCAAAAAATAATGGTAAGTACTATTTATGGAAGACTCACAACTTGCCAGGCCCTGCACTATATACTTCACCTACAAAGATTAAGAATTGTTTTCAGAAACCGGATAATGAAACTGGTTCAAAGGGATCAGGTAATGCCCCCACTTTCACAAAGTGAAACAAAACTGTCTCACTGAGCGAGGAGGATTACAGTATCAAAAGGCCAGTATTTCTGGAGTTTACAAGCAAGCTGAGGGAACCAAGGGCACACAGGTATGTCTGCTTCCAACTGGAATAAAGGTTAAGGGCAGGGCTCACCCCAAAATAAGCATTCAAATACTTTATAGCAATGACTGTCAGGAAAGGCCAGGAAATCTAAAGGGGTGGGGAGTGACGGACAGGGGAATATAGTATGAAAAGGTATATTTACTATTATACTATTCTATATTTGTATATATGCTGGGAAAGACTGAAGGCAAAAGGAGAAGTGGGTGACAGAGGATGAGATGGTTAGATAGCATCACTGACTCAATGGACATGAATTTGAGCAAACTCTGGAAGATAGTGAAGGACAGGGAAGCCTGGCAGGCTGCAGTCCTTGCGGACACGACTTACTGAGTGAACAACAATTCCATGTTTGTAAAATGAAGGGGGGAAACCCACTGTCTTTTTTAATACAGGTCACATTTCATAAAGTTGCATAAATTCTTCTCAGTTGATGGGACCACACAGTAGGCAGAGAGTCTTAAAATTGGGAGCATCTGCTTAGGAGTGAGATTTTTATGTTTCTCAAAAGAGCATGGGCTTTAAAAGATTATGCTCTTTCTTTGATTTGATCCCAGAGTTGTAAGCTAGAACAATCTCACTTGGCCCAGGCCCTCCTGCATTTTTCAGGTGGAAAGAAGGAGGGGGTGAGGAAGAGTGCTCATCCAGCACCCAGCACTCAAGGGCACCCAGCAAATCAGTTACAAAGCTCCACCTAGACCAGAGGTCTCTTGATTCCCAGGCTGGTCTCTTTTCCAAACTCCCAGCAGAGATTCCAGGACTTCTCTGAGGAACCAGCACCAGGACTGGCACCAGACGGTGTGTAAAGGATAAAGGGCAAAAGACCCACTGGGAACCGTTAAGCACCAACAAGTACCTAGTATGTCAACAGCTACTGGGTCTAAGGTTCTTCCCGGTCCCTGCCCTTCTTCCTCTAGGCTCCCCTGAGGGTGATCAACTAACCTCACCATCCCTCTCCCCTCCCCTTCTCTCCTTCTTTCTCCTCAGTCACCACCCCCATCCCTCAAGGCCAGAATTCTTCAGCTGGGCCACCTGGGCTGGGGTGGGGTAGGGAGGAGTTGGTTTACCTTTCCGTACAAAGTAGCAATGCAGGGAATGCACATGGACATCTTCACTCACAGACTTGGCTGCAGCCACCAGGGCCTGGCCCACGATCTGACCCCCAAACAGACGCTGGGTTGAGGGTACCCAGTAATGCCTTCCTCTGTGGGGAGAGGGGGACAAGAGGAGAGACTTGGGGGCTGAGCCAAATCCTACGACCTTCAATGAGCCTCCAGTGCAGGATTTCTTAACCCGATTGGGGTTTGTGATGCTTTGAGAATCCGGTGAAAGCTTTTCCCTAGACAAATATCCTAACATCACTCTACCTACAAATCCAAGGCCTTATCTGTGGACTTAAGTTAAGGGTCATGAACCAATCCTCATATTTTACACTAGGAGAACAGGGATCAGAGAGGGACACTGACTTGAGCAAGGTCACAAAGTTCAAAAATTGCCATCCTGAGCAATATCTGGGTCTTTTGATCCCAAGTCCAATATGTCTTCCATTGCCCATATGTGGGTAAGACATAAACTTGTCTCAAGGCCTTGAGTAGACCAAGATGAACCCCACAACCTGCAGGTGGACTGCATTAGGTCTGCCACTTACACACCTCAACTTTGCTAGACCAGTTCTTAAAAGAACTAAATTTAGAGCTTGGAGGCCCTCAGACCTCACGTCTAACCCATTCAGTGCACAGATGAGGAAACGCAGCCCCTAGAGGTGAAAAGCCTCCCCAGTGAAAGATTAAGAATTAATAATAAGTCTCAAACTTCCCACTGCCCGGCCCAGCATTTTTCGTATCAGTTCAGTTCAGTTTAGTCACTCAGTCGTGTCTGACTCTTTGTGACCCCAAGAATTGCAGCATGCCAGGCCTCCCTGTCCATCACATACTCCCGGAGTTTACTCAAACTCATGCCCATCGAGTCGGTGATGCCATCCAGCCATCTCATCCTGTCGTCCCATTCTCCTCCTGCCCCCAATCCCTCCCAGCATCAGGGTCTTTTCCAGTGAGTCAGCTCTTCACATGAGGTGGCCAAAGTATTGGAGTTTCAGCTTCAACATCAGTCCTTCCAATGAACACCCAGGACTGATCTCCTTGAGGATGGACTGGTTGAATCTCCTTGCAGTCCAAGGGACTCTCAAGAGTCTTCTCCAACACCATAGTTCAAAAGCATCAATTTTTCAGCGCTCAGCTTTCTTCACAGTCCAACTCTCACATCCATACATGACCACTGGAAAAACCATAGTCTTGACTAGACAGACCTTTGTTGGAAAAGTAATGTCTCTGCTTTTTAACATGCTGTCTAGGTTGGTCATAACTTTCCTTCCAAGGAGTAAGCGTCTTTTAATTTTATGGTTGCAGTCACCATCTGCAGTGATTTTGGAGCCCCAAAAAATAAAGTCTGACACTGTTTCCACTGTCTCCCCATCTATTTCCCATGAGGTAATGGGACGAGATGCCATGATCTTAGTTTTCTGAATGTTAAGCTTTAAGCCAACTTTTTCACTCTCCTCATATAAGGCACTGCAAAATTCCAGGCAGTTATTTGCAGTTGGTTAAACGGGGGTGTGTTGGGGGGATTAAGTTAGTGCCTAAAACAGCTTCCAATAAGCCAGGAGGAGCCTTGGAAGCTTGAACTGTTACATCCCCAGTTACAGTCAAGAAATTTAAGTGACATCAGGAAGGAAACTGGCTCAGGACTCACAATGAATAAGGAGCTACTAGACCCCACCTAGTGGTGGTGGGGATGGAGTATGTAAAATGAAAAGATAGTGACTATGCAACTAGCTGCGGATGAGTTTGTCCCCGCGGATAAGTTTGTCCCCTCGGACAAATCACAGCCCTTTCTGGGCTGGCTCTCCCAGGGACCTGACCCTTCCTGGGGAGGCTTCTGAGAAGTATACCTCGGATCACCACTTTATCTGACTAGATTGCCAGGACCTCCCGGGGATGAGGCTGCATAGAGCCCCGTGCCGAGGAGGAAGCCGGGGCAGCTACTTCAGGCACAAGTTCCCTCCCAATTACGGCAGAGGCATCGCGCACAGAGCCCCCTCTCCTCCCGAGGGGTACGAGCAGGGCAGGGGTAGTGGGGCTGCAGCAATCAAGACCAAGAGACTCTGACCCGATGCGGGGGTGCGGGCCAGATGCGGCCGGCTACCTGTAGAGATCCTCATCCAGCGGCTCGAGGTTGAGCACGCTGGTGACCAGGACGCTGCGGAGGTCCCCGGGTGGATCGCCGCCGCCCTGTTCGTCTTCCAGGTCCTGAGGGGGCGACATGTAGTTCACCAGCTGCCGGCCCGGGTCCTTGCGCTGGCGGGGCACACGCGGACACCTGAACAGAACGCGCAGCCTTGAGAGGACTCTTAAGCGACCGGAAGTCTCCCTCAGGCCCTAAGAAAGAAGGAAAGCCTGAATCCTGTTTATGGTTGGTCGGTGCTTCTGTCATTCTTCGGATGGGCGAGCCCATCTGCTCTCTAGCAATTGGGGGAAATGAGTGCCAATCCGGTGAACCCCTACGTGATTGGATATGACGGTGAGGGGGCGGAGACGATAATTAGGGCTCAGTGTCATTTCCCCTCTTGTCTGAGAGCAAACCCACCTAACCCATGGTAACCCCCTCAGGCCGAGGGATTCTCCTGAGCTCCGTAACAAGGCACCCAATAGAGGCCCGCTCTTAAGGCATCCTGGAGACCGCCAGCCTGTAGACCTTCCTAGGTGACCTCTGATCCCCGGTGTTGATCTTAGTGCAGCCCCTGGGTGGGCCGAGGGGGCGGCCATGGAGCTAGGGAGCTGCTTCAAGACCTACGAGGACTTCAAGGAGTGCTTCAGCGCCTACAAAAAGGAGAATAAGTGTTCCTTCATTCTCAGGGACTGCGTCTCCGTCCGGTACCACAACCTCAACCATGGCACCTCTATCCGCGAGGACATTCTGTAAGGGCGTGGCGGGGGCGGGTCAGGAGGGTGGGGAGGAGGCCGGACAGTCCCAAAAAGGAGGGCGGCCTGGAGGAGGTAGTGCACCTGGGCGCGCCCCCCCCCCACCCCGCCCCGTCTCTGAACAATTCCACATTAAGCACCTGCTAGGTGCCTGGGAAAAGCGCAAAACCTCCACAGGCATCGCCTTTTGACCACCCACGTCACCTCCACTCATTCACTCCTTCATTCCCAGCTTTTCTGGAATTCATGACGACTGCAGTTTATCCCATTTTTTGAGCACCTGCCATATCCCAGACACAAAGTATGGCCTTCACAACGTATAAAAATGCCTTGGCGAGAATTTTAATCATGTCTTCTCTTTACAAAGCAGTAACACTGATCAGTTATTGGTTGTTAGATTGGTCATTCATTCTTTCATTCTTTCCTTAGTTCTGTAAATGGTTCTTGGGTTTTCAAACACTTCCCATGCCCCAGGAGCGTCCTCTATTCTAGGTACAATTTCACCCACAGGGGTTTATTGAAAATCACAGGCAAATGTTATTTTTCCCATTTGGCAGATGAGAAAAGGCACTTGGAGACTAAGTTAAGGGTTGAAAAACTCAATTCCTTCCGGACTCAGGTGAAACAGCCCCGTGTAAGAAAACTGAACTTTTAATTTAACTATATGAAAAGGAATGATGAAATAATCAACACCAGGTCTTTGTGCTAGGGAGAATAGATGTGGAGAATAGTCGTGTGAACTGGGCAAAATGGAGAGCAGGCCAGTTAACTCCAGCTGATGGCCTCCATGTGAGAGTGAAGATCCAGTGTTCCCAGATATGGGGCAAATGGAGTTAGCAGTCCAGGCTTTATGTGAATGTGTCCACTTTTTAAAAATTGGAAATCAATTCACATGTGAACATGCACTCTATGGGCCAACTCTGAGAGTCAAACTGTATCTGAGTTTGAGACCTCCAGGTTGAGACATTTGGCCAAAGCTCACTCTCTCGCCAGGCAGGCGGTGTTTTTTCCCCTGCTCTGAAGTCCAGTGCTGTGCTGGGTACAGATAAATATGAATAAGTAACTAAACTTGCCCTCAAAGAGCTTGAGATGTCATAGTACCTGGACTAGTGTGTGATAAATGCTTTATTAGATATGTGCAGAGGAAGAAGTGACAAGTGTCTGGGAAGACAGGAAGGGCTTCACACTGGAAGTAATGGTTTCTGCTGGGCTGTGAATGAAAGCAGAAGGCTAGTGCACAAGTACAGTGGTTAACATCAAGTATCACGGAGGGGTTTGACGAAAAGGAGCTGTGGAGTGAAGACACAAATATATGAAAGGATGTGGCGTGTTTTAGAAACAGTATAGGATGCCGTAACTGGCAGGCGGTCGTGTCAGTTGCAGTTCACCCATCAATCAAAGCTTCCCTGGTGGCTTCACTGTAAAGAATCGGCCTGCAACGTGGGAGACCTGGGTTCGACCCCTGGGTTGGGAAGATCCCCTGGAGAAGGGAAAGGCTACCCACTCCAGTATTCTGGCCTGGAGAATCCATGGACTTCGTATAGTCCTCGCGGTTGCAAAGAGTCGGACGCAACCGAGAGACTTTCATAAATAAAAGGTCTTCAAGCTTCCCTGGTGGTTCAGATGGTAGAGAATCTGCCTGCAATGCAGGAGAGTGGGGTTCGATCCCTGAATCGGGAAGATGCCCTGGAGAAGGCCATGGCTACCCAATCCAGTACTTTATGGAGAATCCCATAAAGTATGACTGTGAGGTGTTTGGACTTTGATCTATGCCTGTAGCATCTTTCTAAGCAGTGAAAGAATGCAAAAAAAAAAAAAAAAAAAGCCCTGCTTCAAACTGCTTAAAAGTATAGGCCAGATAAAGTGCAATAGCCTTCCCGTTGCCCTCTTGATTAAGTCCAGGACTATTATTAACCCGGCTTGCCAGACCATCTAACCCTTTTGACCTCCCCATCTTGCACTGCATGCTCCATCCTCACCAACTCTTACTCCATCCATGATCAGCCCCTGTCCCAAGCCCATAGCTTCCTAGTCCTTGCACTTAACCACTTCTACTGGTTAGAATAACCTTGTCCATCACTTATCTTAGCGCTCTCTTCCTTAAACATCAGTTGTGTTGTATACTATCCTCTCTGTACTGTATATCCTGAACTAAGATACCTAACATTTTTCTTTAAATTGTTCTAGTATTCAAAGAAACTTTAGAACCAATCTAAGTAATAGTATATAAGAAGTAACAGAAAAAAAAAAAAAAGAAGTAACAGTATGGTGGCCAAAAAATAGTGTATCTTTTATAAGTAGCTACTAAACATTCTTGTGTTACCTGCAGTCATTTTGGACCATTTGTGGAAAACTCTGTCTTAGCTAGTTGTTACTTTTCCTTCAGATACTAGCATAATTTCCAAAAACCCTTTCTTAACTCCCTGAAGGTTAGGTTCAGTGCTCCTACTCTGTGTTCTGACAGTGTTTGTTATAGCTCTTTGCACATCCTTTTGGATTATAGTTTACAGAAGTTTCCCTGGTTTGCTGAGCTCTTTGGGGGAGGGACTCTGTTTTACTATTTTTTGCATTCTCACTGATTGATACCATGCTGCTTGCTTAGAATCAAGTCCAAACACCTCATAAATGCACCTAGACACCCTTCAGGTGGATCACCTCCAGGGTCTAGCACCGGGATTGTCTCACAGCAGGCCTTAAGTAACCGTTGAATGAATGAGTCATCGAGTGTTAAATGTATAACTCATCAAAACTGGTGCTGTAGGAATCAGAGAAAAGTCACAGTGGGCTGGGGAAGTAAGAGAGAAGGAGGCTTGAGCTGGGCCCTCAGAGACAGGGAGGTGTCAGGAGGTGTATTTTCTGTCTGCTGCTGTAACGAATTACCACAAACAACGATGAAAGCAACATAAATTTAGAAGCTTACCATTCTGTAGGTTAAAAGTCAGGCACAGATCTGACTGGGCTAAAACCAAGGCATCAGCAGAGTTGTATTTCTTTCTGGAGTCCCTGTGCATGCGTGCTAAGTCACTTCAGTTGTGTCTGACTCGTCACAGCTCAATGGACTGTAGCCCTCCAGGCAAGAATACTGGAGTGGGTTGCCATGTCCTACAGGGGATCTTCCTGACCCAGGGATCTAACCCCAGTCTCCTGACGCTCCTGTGTTGCAGTTAGCCTCTTTACCTCTGAGCCACTTGGGGAGCCCCTGGAGTCCCTATAAGAGAGTCCATTTTCAAGCCTTCCAGCTTCTAGAAGCTATCCACATTCCTTGACTCATGGTCCCCTTCCTCCATCTTCAAACCAGTAATGGCTGATGTAGTCCTTGCATCATATCACTCTGACCCTGCTTTGTTCCATCTCCTTCTCCGGCGCCCTTTCTGCTTCCCTCTTCCATTTTTTAGGATCCTGTGATTATATTAGGCCTGCCCAGATAATCTAGGATAATTTTCCTTTTAAAAAAATTAGGTAATTAGTAACCTTGATTCCATCTGCAATCTTAATTCCCCTTTGCCATGTAACCCAACATATTGACAAATTTTAGAGATGAGGCTGTTGGCATCTTCAGGGGCCCATCTGCCTATCACAAGAGGGTTAACATCCTGGAGGGAGAAGTGGTATGTGAGCTAGTGCATATGTCAACGTGCTGTCCTTGGAAGGCAGTGAGGAGACATACTTGACTAGAAGGAAGATTTATGCTGGAGCAGTACCAAAAAGAATGGGAGGGACTTAGCTAACAGAGGTGCAGATTGGTTTTGTTTATTTTTGCAGGTTGAACAGTTTGTAAAATGAATTTGTTTTCGAGTGGTCAATATAGTCATTTAATTTTTTAAAAATTTCAAATTACATCAAAGTTTGCAAAAGGCAGTGTCCCTTCCAGTATGTTATCTAGAGACAACCATTCTTATCTTCCTGACATACTCTGAGCTTGAAAAAATATATCTTATGTGTACATATGCACCTTTAAAAAAAAAAAACACAGGTGACTGGCTCTTTTTTTTTTTTTTGGCGGCAATGCACCACATGTGGGATCTTAGTTCCCTAACCAGGGATTGAACTCAGGCCCCCTGCATTGGAGTCTTAACCACTGGACCATTGGGGAAGTCCCTTGCATACTACTTTTACATATCATTCCGCACCTTGCTTTTCTCACTTATCAATGTATTTTGGAGATTACTCCACATCACTCCATCGTATGAACCATTTAATTCATTGATTTTGGAGATTGTTAACTGAAAACTTACTCCATGCTAGTGTCTGGAAACAGTGTTGAAAAACATAAGTTGAGTCCCTGCCTTCATAGAGCTTGCCCTCAGTCAGGGAGACAAATATTAAACTCTAATTGCAGAAAT